ATATATATATATATATATATCTTGCATTACACAGGCTTGCCCCTTCTAGCTGCAACACTCAATCCCGGATCTTTTCTGAAAGCATATCCTTCACATACGAAAATTCGTCTTTCTTAGACTTCTCCGCTGCTTTGACACTTTCCTTGTTCAGTTTTGGGATCCTTGGTGCCTTCTTCTCCTTGACCCTATTTTTCGAGTTAACAATGCCTGCACGTACTTTTTTCTGATTATTTGGGTACTGATCGGACTCGTATGCACTCCTAGCCTGTTCATCTACTTCGGTCATTCCGCTAGGCGTCCATGCGGATTTTTCACACAAAAACGCGGCATTTGGGCTTGTAACAACAGAGCATCAATTCGTCTTGCTTGCCGCCCAATAGGTTCCTCTGGCAATCATTTGCTTTAGACCTTGTTGTTCTAAAGCCCAATAATTATTTCGGCGTGCAGTTTCTGGATCTACGACAAAGCTGCTCACAATGCGTTTCAAGTACAGAAGAGTGTGGTTGATGCACCGGAAAAGCCAGCACACACACATCGTCGTTTCACGCTTAAACCAAAAACCAGGAAAGCACGCTGGAAATGCTGTCTAGCGGTTCGAGGTTTCACAGTGCAGCTGCAGCAAACGAAGCGCATTAAATCGGTCAATCCCCCTATCGCAACTCTTGCAATTGAAACATGTGATCGGCCGCTCCAGAGACACTTGAGTCTGTTGGGGTGGTGCAACCCCCCGTTGCAAAGTAATGACGTAGTCGATAAAGCCTCTCTTTTTCGCTCGCCTATCTAGTGATGATTCATATTTGCCCATGGAGGAATTAGAACTCATGCAATTGGTAGGCGTGCCATAGACAGTTAAGACTTGCATAGATAAGGGGAAAAACCCTTCTTGTTAAATGCATTATCATGCTTAGTTGGCTTCAACTGGCAAACAAATTGTGTCAACGCATTTTGGTGCTGATCACAACGGCGCAGTAGCAGACATCCGTCAGTCCTTTCCCCTTAAAAAAACGTGCGCAGGAAAAAACCCCTTTTCTCGGTCATAAATATATAATGTAGAAAAATGCCCATCTCATTTGTGAAAGGTTTGATGCAAACATTCAAAAATGTAAGTTCCTGCGGGTTTTCAAAATCACCACCTCAGGCTTGTGGGCAGCAAAGAATTTTGGTGGATCCTGCTTGAGTGCACTGCACACTATTTTCCACCTCTGCCATGCAGCGACAGCAGTCGACGCGGTTCAAAAGCAGCCGGGTAATCGGCCTCTGCAGTATACGCAGCTGCACTACACGACTACTGCGAGTTGTGAGTCTCATGAATCTCTGCGCTGATGTAGGAATCTTGGTTTTGACCAAGGGGTGAGTGGTTAGGGGTTGAATTTCTTCATAGCGACTCGAGTTGCTGCTGCGCGTTTTCGCCGATGAATCCCCTTAAATTGTTGTGCAGCTGATCGTTTAAAGCAGTCATAGTGTCTACAAATGTCCTCCTTTTGGTTTCCAGAAGCAAAACAACCCTCGATCAATCGTTGGAAGATACGGCAGTGACAACTGGCGTTCTTGAATAAAGCATTTGATGTAGTAGTGAACGAGAGCCACCACTTCACCTCTTGTGGTGTTGCAGTGCAGCAAGTGGAGATGCATGATTTTGTCAATGGTGGCGACGGCCAAAGATGGCTCTACGACAAGCCAGAACGGTCCTTTTGTGAGTTGCGTGGATTCAGGTGAAGCTGCTTGTGCTTCTGTCCCATCTCTGCTGCGTTCATGGTCACCAGCACGAGGAGGCAGCTGATCCATTATGTAGTCAACGAGGTCTTCTAAAGCGATTCCCTCCCCGTAACGCGAAGCTTGCAGCCAAATATCTTCAGCGCGTCGCGGGGGTTTAATGGGTCCCAGGGCCCTGCCGCCGCCGCCACACGCCGGAAGCCTGCCGCAGTATATCGGGTCGTGTGAGGGGCTCAACGCCTCAACCCCCAAAGCCTGAATTGTAGGAAGATAGATAAACGAAGCACCAGTGCTGAGAGGAAGTCCATCTGAACGGCAGTGCTAGGCGTTGTGTATGACCCGTCAAGCGGAAAATCGCGGCAATTGTACCTGGTACTTTCAATGCAGGGCCATCGCCGCCACTTCTACGCATATGTCGTCTGAGGGAGGCAAAAAATAACGAAGTCTCGTCATCTGGCTGGCGCCACTCCATTGCTCCGCGGAAGTTTTCATGTATTATTCATACAGGAATTTAGTCGCGGGAAAAGCACACAAGCCGCTGTGCAGTGGGCGATTTAAAGTGGCCAAGGACTCCACTACAAGAGCGTCCAGCAGTATCTTATGACCTTTTCTCCTCAGGAAGTTGTATTAAAGTGCCTTTCGCCTTTCCTTGCGCAAGGACTTGAAGAAAATCCTGACCGGTAGGCAACAGCCACTTGTTCGTGACGAGAGAATAAAAAAAGGTGGAGGAAGCCCAGATGAAGTTAAATTTTAACTTCCTGGCATAAGAAGAAGAAATTCGTTGTGGTGTGCAGAATTTCTGCTGAGGTGAGGGCGGAGCAAAATGTGCACGGCGGTGGTCGTTTCAAACAGTCCACTCCCACAGGAGATGATGCACAGTGGCAACAGTTGCCACTCAAGTGCTTAAAATATGCATTAGCAAAAGGACTGGGGCAAGGACGGTTATTCAAGGGCTCATTAAGAGAAGCTACGCGCGAAGAATTTCGTTTTTCGTGGCTCAACTCGATCGATACCGTACAGACACACGCAGGCGCGTGACTAGTGGGATGATTTGAACTACAGGGTGTTCACTCCCAGAAACAGCCCCAGAGAGCGCCATTTCAGTTAGTTGGCTTAAAAAGGACGTTTTAGTCTACTAATTTCAAAGATCGGCTGCGAGTTTCATTTCTCTCGCCGTGAGCAAACAGCACGCGTGGCTCGAAGCCTACACAATCTCAGACGAACAACTAGGAGTATTTCGTAGGATTCTTAAGAAGTGTTTGAGCCTTTATATAGGTGTCTTACTAGAGTAATAACTTTAGTTGTTGAACCTGCACATCTGATCTCGATTTCACCCACAATGCCCGGCGTCAATGGCTAAGATTTCCGTGGCCAGAGCCACCGCCGGGGTTCCCCCATAATTTGTAACACCCGCAGTTAGTGGCTGGTGACGGTTCGGCATACACGCATGGAATTGCATCGATGCACCTTCTTGTGTGCTTGTTTGAAGCTGCAATAGGCCGCCATCATGTGGATCTGGGCACGACAAACCTCGACCAGTGCCGATGAATGAATATTAATTAACGAGGCAGAGCAGAGTATTTATAGCATTACACTACTAAGCACCTTGGAGAAAACTAAAACGTGTTCGAAGGGCATTCCCTCTGGGCTATGGGTACCCAGACGCCGTCCCAGGCATTTCAGGTTCGTTTGCAACTTACACCAAACCACACAACATGCGTTTCGCGAGAGAATGTATTTGCTGGGCTTTATCCCATTTGCAAACAACCGAAGTCAAAAAAACACCAATACCCTTTCGAGGGTCCCATGCAGTCTCTCAAGCTCCGACTGCGTCTTTTTGCCATAAAATACCTCGTTGAACATTTGCAGCAATGGCCCTTTTGTGAAGGAAAGAAAAAGGCCATCGTTGTAAATGTTCAGGAATTATATTACACTAGTGTTGTTTTAGATAATCTCCCGACCGTAGATTTGTTGATGTAGTACAGCTGAGTTGAAGTGCAGATTCAATTCATGGGCTTACAGGGTTAATGTGTTTCCCATACGCCAGCATGGCGATTCTCTGTGAATGATCAGCTCCAATCAAGCAAGCAAGCAAATAGTATGTGACGCTGCGAGTACAACAAGTACAAATAATGCCACCAAATGCAAGCTAGGTATCCAATTTAGCGCTCATCTCTGCCGAGTTTTGCAGCGAATCAATGCGCCTGTAATATTTATGGCTGAAGCCCTTTGCCACATGCTCGCCCGTATGTTGAGTCAAAACAATTCTGATGTGCCTAGCGGGCGGCTCAATGGAAATAGGATCCTTTGCTTCACAAGGAGGAGACAATGAAACATCAATAATGCAACCGCTGTTTGCCACTGTTGGGTTCCGTCGGGATGCAAGAGCTCCCCCTAACCAAAGGGAATTTCACGAATGTTTCTGGGCTCTAAAATTCATCAGAGTAGTAACAACCTAATCTTTGCCAGTTAGTGGTGGCGATTGCTTAGCTGCGCTGGCGCCCATCTCTCCAGGAAATAACATAGTTTTCATCCACATCCAACTAGAGAGTCACCTATGCAATCCGTTCGTCTCATTGGTAAATCCATAAGGTTTAGCAGAAGCAATTGCTAAAACTGCCGTTCCAAACGTTTTCTAGGGAGCTGAGCCCCGATCGACCCAAACCAGCTCGTATTGACTGTCGGCATTCGGCCGCAGAGCTCTTCCGAAACTGATTCCCTGTGCCTATCCAAGAAGTAGCGAGCGTTGAAAATGTTCTTGCAGGCCTGCACGTCAGGCTAAGCTAAATGTGCTGCATTGTGTTCGGCCTACGCCAACTCAAAGACAAAATACATGTGTAAAGCGTAGTCCTTCGCAGTGGATGAAAATATTGCAACAAACGTAGAAAATATGCCACAAAGTTGACACACAAAAAAGTTGACCCTCTGCTAAAGATGCTTCTGACTACCAAGTCCCAATACTCTCCGGGCTTATGCAGCTTTTAATTCTCGCGGTCCGCCGAGCCTCGCCCCCAAAATGTTAACTCTATTTTGCCTTGCTTATTCATTAGGCTCTTTGTTCTGTTCAAATGAGCCATTTTGGTCTTTAGCTACTGCCAGCGCTTTGGAGGAGGTTTACTCTCATTCGCTGCAGCCGGATAAAGCTGATGTGGGTGCAGAAGTTGCTTTGCAATATTCTGTATCTTCCCCTGCAGCGCCTGTCGCTCTTGTAGTCGCATTAGGGAAGCCTGTAACCGCCCCGCGACATCTCCGCGAAGTGCTACTTTATGACCACCACTTCGGGGCCGACGAGCCAGGGAGGAACTCGAGGAAGAGCCGTCATCCGCCTGCAAAGGCTGCTGCAGATGTGGCTTCTGTGGAACAGAAAAAGAAATACGCTGGTGCTGTGAAATACGTGTTGCGCGCCTCGTCGAATGAGAGCGGCGACGGCCCTCCTCACGCTCAGGCGCAGCGCTGCTACTGCTGGTACTGACCGACCCATGAGAGACAGAGCGAGACAGCCGAGCACTTCCATGCCGAACCCTTCGGCGCCAGCGGCGCCGTCGCTCAAGCTTGTTATTGCTGCTCATGCTGCCGTTGCTGCTGGTAGACTCGTCCGTTCGAAATGCACTGCTGCCCGCTGAACGGTTGCGGTGTTTATGCTGACGTATACTGCTGGTCGTTTGGCAGCATTTGGAATTACACGTGTCTTCGGTGTGACGGGATGATGCGCCTGCCTGTGGCGGGCATGAAGATCCTTGAGGTTGCAGCTGTGAACGATCTGCGCCGCCTTGAGCACCTGTGCTGCCTGCTTCATGAGTGTGTGTTTCGTTGCAGGATGAGCGAGCTGAGGTCGCTGAACAGGAAGCAGGAGGCAGCCGCACCTCCACATCTACAAGTGCCTGGCGCCCCACCCCTCCTGTCGAGCGATTGGTAACACCAATGCTCTTCCTCGGTTGCCTTGAACAGGAAAGACAACCGCCGCGCGCCGCCTTGGAAGGAGGTACTGCAGGGAGCACCACTGCCGTGAGAGAAGCTGTTTCTACGGAGCCCTGCTGAGTAGTGCAACGGGCAGTGGGCTGGCATCCGAGAGCTGGATGACGCTTCCTGTTTAAAGAAGACGCATCTGTAGCACTCAGTTGTTTGCTGTTGAATACACCCCGCGTTTGGAGCGGTTGTGCACGCAGGGCCGCGCGAAGTTTTCGGTTTTCTTGTTGGAGCGCCTCCAGCTGAGCTTCGAGGTCGACGCCTAAACCCTCACAGCACGCAACAAGCACCAAGAAACGGTTCAGTGCATGGAGCAAGAGGTTCTACACCTACGACTGCCATGGCTTTTGGATACAGTTGCACTTCGTTTCAAGAGACACCCTAGCGAGTAAAGGGAGAGAAGGATGCACGCACAGCGACGGCGCTCCGCATCCAGTTCTTCAGTTGCTACTCTCAGCTTCAGTTGTTGTTCCCCTCCGTACCGCCTCCGCGCCTGCTCCAGAAGGTTCCTCTGCGCACACAAGATGGACCGAAAGTTGTCTGTGCACTGCAAGGCTAGCACGAATCGTGCTTACGTGCAACGCAGACATTTTGGAAGCCTTAGGGGCAATCAAACACACCAAAGTGGCTTTCCTCTGAAGGTGTGCTGCAGCTATACCTCGTGACGCACTGCACACCGAGCCTCCGTGGCTCTACGGAGAATCGCTGCGGCTTTCTCAGCCACTGCCTCTGTTTGCTTCCGTTGTTCCATTGCCAGCCTGAAAATCAGCAACAATCGTACGCTTTAGGCGAATCTGTTGCTGTCTGTTTACAGCGGCATGCCTCTGTCCTAGCCGTTCTCCATTGCACAAAGTGTCTGCAACGCTATAAAATGAAGCTGTCGATGCGAGTACAGCCTCCCGAAACTCTCTTTGTAGTAAGGCCTTCGCACGGTTAAGTGCGCAACAGCCCTTGAGTAAGTGAGTGACGAACCTTTCGAGCTTCTCTGCAGCCTGATTTAACAGCTGCTGGGCATATCGGCGGAGTGAGTTCGTCGCCTGTGCAACAGCAGCTGACGTTTCTTCTTCCTGTACACAGAATGGAACAAATGGAATAAAATGGAATGGTTGCGGCTTCCTCCACCCAGCACCATATTGCCTAAACGTGAATGCCGGAGAAGAGGAACTAACCAACATAGACGCTGTCGGTGTTGACAGACCTGTTGCCGCAGTCGAATTGCCCTTGCCTGGATCATCCGATGAATCTGTTGGCAAAGCACAAGAAGAAATAAGCTAAAATGCAAGACAGGTATGAGTACATCACACATGCACACACACATAAATGTGTGTATGCGTGTGTGTGCGTGCGTATGTGAGTGTCGGTGCCTGGTTGCAGCCCACGCCTAATAAGTATCAGGCGTGGGAGGCGAAAAGAGGAACGAAGATAAGGAACGCGCAAGAAATGCGAACCAACTGTCGAAGACTTTTCGAATAGGGAAGGCGAAACGATACAAAGGAAGCCAAGATGAATGGACCAGCAAGCATTTGCGCACCTCCTGCAGCTCCTGTGCCACGAATCTGTGGGCCTCAAGCTTCCCCAACGGCGTGCGATCCAGGCACCCCTCAACAGATTTAGAACTCCGCACCCCAAGTTTTCCTTGCTTATTATCACCGCCGCAGCACAACTGATTGGAGCACGCGCAGGTGCAATGATTACCAATGGGGGCTTTATCTTCCTCCCCCCCAACCAGCACTGAGCTGCGCTCTTTTCGCTGTGCCGTACATATTGAGGGTGCATCGCTCTTCTCGGCTTGGCAATGAGCCGAGGAAGCAACAGATGCGGTGCAGGGAAGGAGGCCCGTCTCCGTGCTGTTAGCACCGGCCGGCGCTGCTGACACACAGTTCATCAGCTCCGCCCCTGGAAATGCGTTAAGCTTCTGAGACAACTCAGAGGCTGGAAAAAAGGTGGAGCGCTCCTCATGAGCAGGTAGAGGCGCATTTGGACGCGCCAGTTCGATCGAGGCAAACAGAGAAATATGGCGGTGACGGCGGGCGGGCTGTTGCTGCTGCGCACCGGTCTGCTGTAGCGCAATCTGGCTCTCGCAAGCGTTTTCCACTGTCGTAGAGCTCTTGCACTGGAGAGTCAGTGATGCTGGTGGCTGGCTTTCGGGGAAGATGTGAGGATCTGCAGCAGCGAGCTGCGTAGACCCCGTAGGAGCATTACTCGCTTCTGATGAGGTCTGGCTGCTGACAGAGCCAAAGAGAAGAGCGTCTCTGTCATCTCCTCCTCTATACATCATTAAACAGATAATCGGGAGAGAATTTCGTGCTCTTCTTGGTGTGCATGCCAAGTACGCAATACCGGTTACCCTCCGGCTACCAATGTAATACCACAAGCTGTGCGCCCATCAGACAGTTGCACCACGCCTAAAGGATGAGCCATTCCTTGAGAGAAAAGATATTTACTTGTATGATATCGGAACTGCATGGGAGCATTAGGCAGCGCGTCCTGAGCTGTCCATGCTACGGCCAGCTTTTGGTGGGCACTGCACTGGCAGACAATTCTCCACGCAGCTTTAAAAGTACATCTTCTAGAGTTCTGTATTGCTTCATTTGCGCATCAGAAAAAAAGGCAGCTTCCAATGAATCGGGTAGCCGAGGGTAGACAGACACCAAGGTACTATGGCCAGCATCGCACGAAAAGGGTTATGACGACACTCGCGCTGCCACACTAATTCACAAGGCGTCTTTAGCTCATCTTCAAAGGGCAATCAATTGTTCACACGATGGTAATTAAAGTGCTGTAGAGCGCATGCAGCTAGGCGTGGGCAGAGCATGCAGCAAACGTCGCCAAGGCACTGCCGACTGCACGGCAATGCTACCAGTTCATGCACTTGAAGTTTTCTAAGAGTCATGCTGAGTTTCGTTTGATACAAAGCTGAAATATGAAAATCATTTTGGAGTTGAGAGGCACCGAGGAAGCCCTTGTCCGACACCCTTGTTTTCCAGGTTTCTGCACATCCGTCGGCCACCTGAAACCATGACGTGGCTTGATTGCTAAGTCGGACATAACAGAAAATATGCTCTTTTGCTCAAACCATTCATGCAGAGCATACTCGAAATATTGTATTTACCAGCTTTGCATGGCCCCACAAAGGCTCCGTGACTGCCAGAGCACTCATATACCGTCGCCGCGATCACTATGAGCAGGAAATGCATTTGCGGAATCCACCAAAAACGAATAAGAAGACACTGGAAACACGAAATCAAAACGCTGCTCGTTCGCTTAGAACAGGTATTCACAGCTTGTCAAATGTGAATAAAAACAAGCTGAATAATTCGCAGCATTTTACTACAGTGCGTCTTCCAAGTGGCTGAATCTCCTCGTATCCACGGTTTTTTTTCATCACGAAAGGCGGCAAGCTTCCTCATTGCTCTCTATAGATGCGGCGAGCTGATGAAGCGTAACAATTAGATAATGAATTCGAGAGGAGTTGTTCATGGCATCGTTCAGTTTAGCTAATTTTAAATTTTAAATGGTTAAGGAACATTGTCTGCTCCGAATATACCGCAGCATATATTCAAGGACACTCATCGTAGACCTGAGTGTACGGGCAGTCGGTCAATGTAAACAACTTCAGCAACCGCAACACTGGAAGAACCTCGGAGTATGAAAGCTTTTTTCAAGAATTTCGCTTATTTACTCCATATATAGTTATATTCCCCAGCTCCACTCAATGACCCTGATGAATATCAAGCGCGCTCCCAATTCGCACGCAGCACTCAGAGCGGCAAAACTAGCCGCTATTCTTTCACCGGTATTTCCGCCGGACGCCTTTTTGCCAAAGACCCTGAGGCGCTTTATCGGATGCAAGACTTACTATTTTAAATGACTGACAACGCCTTGACGCGCCCGACCCCTCGATTCCTTCTTGCACATGTACTGAGTTGCTGCAACCTCGGTAAACGCGTGAGGGTGAAGGCCGGCTGGCTTTTCGTAGCGACAGTCAGTGCAACACAACACAGCCCACGTGGAAATGCCTATCTCGGCGGTGAAGACGTTGCAGTCTATGTGGGTGGCTCTCTGCTGGGTTGGCTTTGTGCCAGATCATTTCAACAACTCCAGGAATCTGTTGACGAGCGCCAATGAAATTAAGAATATGCAGCCTTCACAGACGGATATCAATTCGCCTCCTAAATCAGGGGGACCCCTATATGAAGGGCTGTTCGCACTCCCGGCCGACGGTGCGGATCCGTTTGATGGAGTTTCCATTCTCCGAGCGAATGCTATAGCATTGAAGAGGTCACACGTCAGCGACGAGGTGCTGGAGAGCATGGCGCAATTGATTCAGGAGCTAATTCACGAAGAGGCGCACAACATACAGCATCAGACGGACTTGTGGCTTGTTTCACAAACAAAAAGTGCAGTAGACACTCTGCATACAAATCCAGCCGTGTTCCCTGCCACTGGATACTCACTGCAGGAGGGTAGCAACGGTGTGCTGTATGTGAAGGTAAGCATCAGAATACGCATTTTCTTTTTACTCGCGTCTCAACACAAGAAATCGTCGAGTAGACAGACGTTCCCTACTGGTTGGTGGATGCAGAAACAGCTCTCACGATCTTGGTGCAGGACTTAATGAAAGATGTAATGGGAATGAACTTACCGGGGCTTTCCAATCGGCCTTCTCCTGATGAGCGGACAGAAGATCTCCCCATAGAGTTCGGTTACGATGTGGCCGGTCGCCGCAATGTCACGTTCTCTTTCGGCAATTCATTGGTTACGGTGGTTTGCGGCAAAACTCTGAATTCTGGAGCGGCTGTTGGGGTGTCGCACGGCTCTTACATGGTTACGGTGGGCAGATAAGCTGCTGTTGTTGAGGCGATTGTTTTGCATGACTTCACAGATTACTAGCAACAGCAACAGCACCGAAGCCACCATTGCCCCAGGGCCTGTTGCGGTGAACGGCCCCGTCTCCTCCCTTGATCACCAGAAAGATGCTACTGTGGGGGCGGCGCCAGTGCTTCAAGCAAAGATAAGCACTTCAGCAGGGCCAGGATCCATCGTAGCATCTTATCAAAACACGAGAATAAAATTCAATACGCACCCAGAAGGAAGACGCCACGGCGCGGAGTTTGGAAACAAAGACTTTGTTCTAGGCGTCACACGGGACTTTGACGACAGGATCAACATTGTGAATCGTGAGCTTGATGGTCTCTGTTCTGAGCATCCCGTTGGGACAAAGCAAGCCCGCCTCAGATGAAATCGGACCGTATTCCATTCAGTTAGAGACGGACCTGGCAGATGATAAAAACCATGCTTATTCGGGGAAGTTGACAGCCAAAACGCCACAAACTGGCCGGATGGTCTTTGGTGGAGGCTTCGACGAAACAAATTTCCCAACTACGGATCTTGCGATTGAAGCAAGGGACATGAGTATCACCTTCAACGGTAAAAAGGCGGATCCAGGTTATGTAGTGCGCATTGGTCCCTTTGTTTTTGATGTCGTTTTGTCAAGTGGGCTGCCTGAGTTCGTCCTCCGAGAGAGGCCAAGTCCTGAACTATCTTGAAACACCCATCGTTTAAAGCCAAGACGAACATTTGTCATACAAGACTGAATGATTAGAGATTAGCTACCTAGGGATCTCTACCTCTGTAGAGATACATGACCAGTGCGAAGCTGCAAAAGGGAACGTGGAAGGCGGAAGCAGCAAATATAGCGCGTAAATGGCTACAAGAGATCAAAGCATGACTGACTTAAGTTTGCATTTCCCGCCAAACTGTTCCGTTGCCACTGAAACTGTGTCGTCGCCAGTCATTGTGCTTGCACACACGTGGTTGCCTCTGAAAACCACGACAGTACTTCTTACTATGCACTCTATGTATGCCAAAAATAGAGGCGACACAGTCTGGAAATCCATTGGGGTGTTGCGCCACCAAAACATTTGGAACGCGGCTCGACAAGAATGCGTTTCTATGCAACTACATCAACATAAGGCAGCAAAGGAAACTGAATTAGGTACAAACAGTACAAGCAAAGTCTCGTGGCCACCAGGCCAAAACCTGTCTTCCCTGAAAAATGCATTGCAAAGACCTGAAAGCTTGGAGTTGCATGGCAGCAAAACACTGCACGAACCAGCAGACGAAGACGCTGTTGCACGTTGTTCTGTCTATTGGAGTAGGATTCTCATCAATCTTCAAGTCTAAAGAGAAGTAACTAGCATCGCGTGTCGCTTCTTTCCCTCCCTGATGTGCATGTCGCGGTGTTGCCTGCAGCTCGCTAGCTAGTCCTCATGGCCGGATGAGCAATATCACTTTTATGCCTCGCTCCCGAGTTGTGCCCACGAGCAAGGCGGCAGTTCTTTGCAGGCAAGGGACACGCATAACACCGAAAACGAATGTGCTTACAATCTGACCCCAGTGCTTCTTCTGGCAGCTACTTTGCAGGAACGCACGCCGATATGCATGTATATATCCTCGAAATGGCGACTCACTGGGTGGCAGCACGAGAAACATCGCAGCTCCCCATTGGGTGCGTTTTCTGCTTCTTGTGGCTGCACGTCAACAGGCACCCACATGCGCGGATAACAGCAAGACACCTACTCTGCAGCGAAATGCATACAGCTCATGCGGCCTAGTGTGCTGTCAGGCGTTCAAAATTTTCGACTGTAGCCCGTTGTTCGCCAGTGAATGAATACAACTTGTGCACAACCTACTGGAGGCATCGTGAAGCAGAATGGACACACGTTGTGTGACTTCCGAGTCTGCACGTTTTCTACGTTCATAACCTGTGGGAAAGGAAGACGCGCAATCCACGACCGTTAACCCCAGTGTTCACGGAAACTGGCCAAAGTAGAAGCAAGAATACATTGCTTATAATGCAACCCTACTACTACGTACCTTGAACGTGCAGTAAGGACAAACGTGTTGAGTTACAGACAAGACGCCGCGATTAGGCATCCTCAGAATAATATTGCAGGTAGAGCGGTTGGAGCATGCCTGACATTCAGAATACACGCAGTGCTTTTACTTGCTTCGTCGAAAGTCAATTGAAGTTGAATTGCGATTTAACGCCGCGCGAAAGGTCTAAAAAAAAAGAAGGAAGCGAGCTTAAACCTGTTAGGGCTTCAAGCGACGTCCCACCCCGCTGCTTAGTTAGTGATTCTCACTAGGAAGCGACTTGTTCCGTGTTCTGCAACCGGAGCTACATCATAGCGCAGCACGGGCACAAATTAACAGAGCGTGAAGCACAATTCAGAACCTCAGCTCAAGGGCACAGCCGAAGATAAGCTGGGCACTTACACACCTCCGCCTGTGTCAGCAGATCCCCGGCCGCCAGCATTCTTCCCGCGCCTGAAGAAAGATCAGCGACTTACAGAAGTTCGTGACTTCCATAGCATGCATATTCCAATTAGAAACTGCCCTAAAAGGATACTAGCTCTGGAGCCATGCCCCTCACCACGGGTGGGCTGCCCGTGAGTCGTACCTCGAGCCGGTATTCCGTGCTTCGCATCCGTTATCCTGTGGGGCAAATAAAGTCCACTCAAGGCACTGTACTTTACACCAAACTGGTGGCATCCAAGGCGTGTGCTGGGTAGGTGCCAAGGTGCTCGCCAATAGAACACGTGAAACGCCACTTAGTGGTAGGGCTGAACTGCTCTATAATTTTAGTCAGCAACGCAACAGAAGATCAAGCGGAGCCCTGATCAAACGCTTTCTCACCATTAGGTCCATATAGCTACCGCACTTCGCGCAAGTGCAAAAGTTGCGTTGGAGCAGGCGGCAGTCGGCATCTGAAGCAGCCAGTGGTGGGAAGATCCGCTGGAGTTGCTCATCTAGCAACGAAATATGAAGACGGAGCAACCGAAACACCCCCGCCACTGTGGCAACATGCCTCTGAATAACATCCTCCTGCGGGCATAAAGACGTGCCGCAAACAGTTGTATCAATCGCCACAAGAATAAGCCACTAAATCGGTGGATCCTTCAGTGTAGTTTTCTCTTGAAAACTAGACGAATGCTGGAACTGACTCCAGTCTCACCTTCCGCTCTACGCCCCGCGCAATCAGCGTCATGTCTCTTTCCATGTTGGCTCTCAAGTCAGGCTAAATGGACACAAACAACAGCCAACGGACACTCGTGTACTTCGACATGAGTGTAGAATCAGATGTTTCTCTGGCTGGCGTGCCATTGCGGATGCGGCTTTCCCTAATGCATAGATGACTCCGCAGAAACAGCAAATGCCTCACCCGCGACAGATCTGCGTTGCAGATACGACCGACGAGTTTATAGCCCTGTGGAAAAGGCAAGCAGGTCTAACAGAAGTATTCCTTTGAAAAATTAAAGATGCGACGACATGAGTTGCCTGCCAAGCTTTAGTGCCTTAATCCAGCAATGTATAATGTCATCCTCATTTCATCCGCAATGCCCCTAGACTTCGATAGTCGACAGCAGGTTGCCGTACCTTTACTAAAGCCACACCAAGTTCTGTAGGCTTAAAGTGCTGAGCCTCCGTTTTAACCGCGTAATTGCGTTCCTGGGCATATTGCAGCCAGCAAATACAATGCAGTCTTTGTCACAACCACTCTAGTGCTCTAAAACGGCGTCCGGGTAGTTTCACGACGAATCAAGGCAACTGCTAGTACCAGATGCGCGCGATACCTGAATAGTACGTATGTGCTCATGCATCGTCGCGTCTGTACCAATTCCATGCTGCGAAACATTTTTTTCACAGACACACGCCAAACACGCCAAAGCATTTTCCCACATCGCCCATAAGAAGAACCTACAGTACGAATGCATGTGACCCAACTGCGTGGGATGCGCACCTTGTCCATCTTGTCGATGAGGTCAGCTTCCGTCAGGAGAGTAGGCGGCTGCGTGCTGCCTGTCTGGATTGTCACATCATTCGGGACAAATCGTTCATGCAGCAGGAATCGCGGCAGCCGGCGGGATGCCCTGTAGCAACAAAGCCATCCAATACAAAATGAAACAATCTCTAAGCTACAGACGGAATACGGCCCTAGGGGTTGCGAGGGTTGTTGTCTGCTGCTCTGCATTTGCTCTAAAGGATGGGCAACCTAATCAGGAAACTCGCTATCAGCTTGGCACACTCTGGCCGTGCTCTACTAAAGGGAACTTGGTAGGCAAGGGATTCTCGAAATTACCACGAGTCGTAGGGGTACACCTCCAGGTAGTTCTTCTGCAACACGATGAGTCCTGTTGCGGAAAACGTCTCCCCTACATAGCCATAGACGTACCATAAACTGGCAAACTTGTCGCTGCCCAAGACCCATATTATCACGGGAGTTTTCACCAGTCTTGCAGCCAGAGCACAGAAGGGGCTGCAGCAAGGGCAAACTAGTTTGATAGGCCGGTTCATACGGGGCTGACCTGCAATGTCCATCTCTATCTTGGTCTCAAAGCCAATGGCATCAGAGCTGAACGAAAAGGACAGCGAGATCGTTAAACGTCAATCCGCATTACAAGATAGCGTTATTGTTGCAGCGTACAAAGCAGGATGCACTAACACCTTGGGCAGTTCAGAAGCCGCATAGACATGGTCGATACCTGCAGCAGGCAAGGAAGTGCCTAGCGACTGCCTCGTAAAGCTGAGCAAAAGAACACATATATGCGCTGCACGCAGCTTCCATCCTTTTAACTGCTTCGCCAAGACTTGATTGCCATCAAGCCGCCTATGCCTAACCTTCCATTCATCGTCATTTTCGCATTCTTCTCTGCGCAGATACAACGAACGCCAACTTTCCGCATGCCAATCACCAGCCCTAACACCAGGGGAGATACGCCGGCCGTGGTATGGAGCCCCCTATGGTGACACTGTAGAAATGCATCCCGCATGCTCACCTGCGCAGTGGCTTTACTGGGTGTATCGGTGGGTGAGACTGCGCAGCAACGCAGCAGCAGAGTTTTCTCGGAGCCAACACCATGCTTTGCTTTTCCCGATTTTAAGGACCTTCCGTGTTGTAACGTGGCACTACCCTCATTAGCAGCATATCTACTACCCGCGGGGCCCGCGTGACCATCGTAGTTTTACAGTAAAGAATGGAGTGCATACAAAACGGGACACTGTATGCGTGAGACTGGAGACGCACAGAAGGCGTCTACGTAAAACTCACGGCATCGTCATTAGGCCCATCGCGAGGCCATTCAAAGCCACCTGAAGCGCAAAAACCAGTGCCACCAAACAGGCATAGTTTTCACTTGTGCAGACGGCAACGCAATTACCTACCAAGACGGTCAGACCACATGCAAAAGAACAGCAGATGTACACACCCTCAACCAAACTGGCAGCAAATTGTCCCCATAGGGGACTGTCCCGCTGCTGCTCGATCAGGCCCAACAAATCATGAGAGCGCGTGAATCGCTCCGTCTCCGTTCGCGGATAACTGAGCACACGCACGTGCCTATCAGCCCTAATAAACATATCAGCACACCCGAAACCTGTGAAGGGGCTGAGCAAGCTGGCGCTCCATGCACGTTGCATTACCTGATGTAGCCGCGATTGTATAGCGCCTCCGCTATTTGCATGCACCTGAGTACGGTCACTGACAGCAGAGCGATAGAGGTGAAGCGTTTAAGAAACCAGTCCTCTACCCTACAGCGCCTCAGTTAATGTTTTTCTTAGAGCCTATGTATCCTTTCACCACACTTGTGCGAATCGATCCGGAGCTTGCGAGAGCAAAGTTTAGTCAGTTGAACGGTGTCTGAGACAGACAATTCTTCCACAAAAAGGCATCATTAACCACGGCACCCCGACAAATGGCAATTTTAAGGAAAATTTTGCACTGTTTGACACGGCGCTGCTAGTGAGACGGCATGGCAGCATTTTCCCACTGGGAGAAAGGGAAGTATTTATTGGACTTGCGTATTCTGCGCATATTGTTTGCACAGAATGGGCAGTAATCGACGTCGTGCGTTTCTGGCATGCCAGCGGCTCACTCAGAGGCACAGGTCTGGGTCTAGTAACTTCGCGGCTCTCAACTGCAGTGATGAGCGCTTCAGGCCTCTCACAGCACAACTCCAAACAGGCGACTACGACAGCTCTGCGGAAGACAAATTGATTTGGCAATGGAATGACTTAGTAAGAAAGGCATGGAAAACGGGCTACGAAGTAGTCTGAGTGGGTGTGGAAGAGCCTATACATTCTCATCTACGTGCACAGTTCTTCGCTGACTGATGGCACCCTCCCATACCGATCAAAAAGGCGCTGTCGTTCCCACTGGAAGTCGACGACGAGATTGTGACCTGGTCGTTCCTCGTCTTCCCTGTATGGGGATTCAGGACAAAATTACACAACGCACACACACATGATGAACCATTCTGCTGGAGAGGCTCCAACAGAAACCTTTTGCAATGAATGAGAATGCGTCAAACCTACCTCTCAACCGTCACTCGAAGAGTCCAAAATTGTTCCGCGACAAATTTTTCCACCTCGAGATATCTGTGGGGCGAAAACCAAGTATAGTGGACGAGAACCATTTCAAGAACGATATCCAGCTTGCTGCTGTGAAACTCGATGCAGTCTCAAGAATGGGGACACAATCAGAACCTACAACTTGCACAGTTGCTTACCGTTCAACAACAAACCCTAGGGTAGGGAACTGGCAGGGACCATAGCTGCAATGAAAACGGAACACCTGGGAGCACACTCTGCCGTTAGAGCAGCATACTGCGAGAACTTCTCCTGCAGCCTAGAATTGTGCAGTGTCAGGTATGTTCCAAGTCAAGTAAAGCAGGGGACATGCGCCCACCTTATAAGCCCCTTCTGGAGAGACAATTTATTCTGGTACCGCTTTGTGAGGAATCGTGTAAAAGCGGCGCCTGCACAGCGCTCCCACATGACAATCAAAACAATGCATAAGCCTGGTCGAAGTCAATAACGGCATGACCTAAAAAGAGCAAGGCACTCTTTTTCCTTACCGATGCGCAAGTCAACTTCGGACCGTGCGTCTGCTGCCTGCACCGGAAGCAAGTAGAACAAGGTGGAAGTAGGTCTGAACCCTGGACCGGGAAGGCTGCAGTGTATTATCGCCCTTGGCTTCGCACACATCGAGAGGAGTGTTCAAATGCCAACAAGCAGCTCCTGTCATTCACGTTGTGCAAAAATGGCGCATCTTCCCCAAACTGAGTGTCCTGAAGCTAAATATTCTTGTCTGAAGGAATACCAGCACGCCATCCCGTACCTGTGCAAGCGCTTCATTTGGCTGCTGCAGATGCTGGCACGCCCTTTCTATGTCTTGCCCTGAGAAGGACACATATTTTCTGAAGGGCTACGTTGGAGCACAACACACTGCAACCTGGAAATCCAGCCAACTGAGATGTGAAAAGGGGACAAATGCGCTCCTACTTGTCACAGCGGAGAAAATTGCACGGAACGACTGAATATTCCGATTTGCTTCTCTACATACTTGCAAAACCTGAGGCAGACAGCTCATTTGAACGAGGCACCAAAGTCTCTCTAAACCGCGAATACTAGTTAAGAGATACAGTTCTACACAACAGAGCAGGAAGGCCTCGAGCACTATGTGCACGGGGTTATCGCCTCCATTGCCGAACCTCGAAAGCAATGTTCTCCCCCTCGCGGTCGCAGTCGAGCCACAGCACTAGCCACTGACACCTGCTCGAAAAACCCAAGGAAGGTCCTGTTGACACTCTTCTGGTTATATGACTTTTCCAAATCCCACAGAAATGCGGTCAGCAGCGTATACGGCAGCCGTTCATCGATGCGCTTACTTCTTTGCATACGTCTTGAGGTTTTCTACAATGTCCTTCGCTGAGTCGCTGACGCGTTTCTGCACTGGGGCTGCCCCAGAGTATTCGAACACACACAATATAACACTGCAAGCGGAGCATGATCCGGTAATGTGGACGAAAACAAGGTCGAAAAATATTGAAAAAAGCCGCCAATGTAGCACCGATCGGGCGCCTAGAACAAGAATAAGTGCAGCAAACTGAAAGTGGGTAATGTGCGTAAACGGCGGCATTGCCCAATCACAAGTTACCGTAAAAACACCACAAGCGCAAATTGAACAGAAGTGTACTCACCTGTAAAGAGTGCTTCTGGGAAGACGGCATTCCAAGATGAAAAAGGCGAAGGGAAGTCGAGAGACATAAGGTGCCTGCAGCGGAAAGCACGGCCTCTCTATGTATCAGTTGCGTGAATATCTCTCAATACGCAGTAGGCACTCTCTTCAAAGGACAACTGAGAAGCGTGACGGCGTCAAAGTCCTTTTTGCGGTTAAGCAGGGGCTGCAAAAAACTGCAGAGAATACTTGCCCTCGGACAGAGGTAAATATCATTTCACATTCTTGGCCTTGAAGTACACAGGGAAAGGATGTGACCGCATTGAAGGTGCTCGAGCTCTGTAGCTGGAAATGGCGAAAAGGCAAACACGGAGGACAACAATCGAGGCATCCAAAGTCACTAACAACTGAAGCATCCAAGAAGGTGGCAATAACAAATGAGGCATGCAAGAGGCTATCCCCGCAAATGTGGAACTACGGGAGCCACTTTACTCCGTTGGCCCGTGTTGCACTTATGGCTGAGCACGCTTGTGTATTTCTTGCCGCCTACCCTACGGACATTATTGCCCCCAAGTAAACGCGTTATTTCCTTTGCCACGGATGGCTTCTCCGCCACATTTAATACCTTCACTGTGGGGGGAGGCATCGCGGCCTACGAGCATCGATGTTAGATAGTGGCATCACAGCTACGGCAACTACTAGTTAGCCGGGAGAGGTGCTCAAACTCGTCCAAGTCCACCGCTTTGGCAGTTTCTATTCAACACCAAAGATGCACACAGGGTACAGGATGATTACCTATGAAGCATCAACACAACAAAATTGCCCGGACACCCGGACCCGCCCTGCCAAAACCTGCCCCGCCCTCGTATTGAAGTCACTCCAGTTTGAAGTACAAAGTATTTGAATCACCAATGAGAAGGCAGATAGTAGTTTGGCGCGTGTTCGTCGTAGCCTTGGGAATGGCCTATGCACAGACTCCGTTGGGGCTGCTCGGGTCGTTGTAGAGCGTGTTACGTCTGGAATGGCAAAAATATTGTCTTCAGAAGTGGTTTAGCCTGTAGACAATATAGATTGTTTAAAGATGATTCAGCATCAGAAGGGTATTGTAAACGCGGGTCACCACCAGGTTCTTGGATTGGGTAGTATTCTACTGCGTGAGTGCCGACTCACCCAACGTAGAGGATACCGGCTGCCGACCCTAGTGTTGGTGTCGGCTGCTGCTACTCAAACATATCACTAAGATTCTCCATAAAATTTCGACTCATTGATTTAAAGACTCGAGAACTTCAGAGACAAACAGGAATGAATTCTTTTGCTGGCCTGTTGCCTGTCTGCTGTGGACGCGGGCCTGTCTCTAGCCCCAGAGACTGGCGTCGATACACCATATGACCCATGCGATTGAATTAGTCTCCACCTAAACTTATCTTACCACGACTAATTCCGGCCTTTTCCGAGTTTTGTGTTTATGTTAATACCCTCCTCTACAGCTTCCTCAGCGTCTCTACAAATATTGCTGCCTGGAAGATCACACCCGCGGTGGTGGTTTCCTGCATCCCACTGAGCACTTATTTTCGCCTTCTGGATCCCTGCACTCGGTCTCCTCATCTCAGGTCTCTCTTCCCCACGAATATGCTGTGAGGCTGCTGCTGCTGTGGGATTGTGAATTTAGTGTAAGGAAATGCTGTATGGTCTGGCGGAATTTGGCAGGTGTATTTCGACTTTCTTCTAGACTCCCTACTGAGGGCCAAACAACTGCTTAACACATGCCTAAAGTTTTGATTCGTGCGTCAAAATGGGTGTTTGGGTACGCTTGCTTGTGGGGTTCCAGTGCAGCAAGTTCCAGCAAGGTGCGTTGCAAGTCATGGCATGGCCTTCTCTCCGACTCAGTCCCAGGCATTCGGGCTGTTGTGGCCCGGACGCGTGGAGACTGAAAGTGAGGTTAGCGTTTTTGCGGAACTCTTATCCTAAATGTGTGGACTCCATTGCATCTCACGATTGTCCTAAATAAAGTAGAGGACTCTCGTGACACTTGGATTGTTGGGAGAAACAAGGCCAAACTACGAATACCACTCCCGATGGCAAGCCTACCACTGATCAGCTGCGAAGGCGTTTTGCCCCCTAAAGGAGGGGAAAATTGTAGATACTCTTTCTAAAGGCTTTGTCAAAAACTCAGCCGTTTTCTCCTCTTGACGAATAAGACATTGGTTAGGACTATTCTCTTGGAATAAGGCGCCCAACAACTGGACCTCGCTGCAGTTAAGCGAGGAATCGATCCTTAACCCACCCGGCCGTTTAATGCTAACAACAATTTATGAATAGTGTTTCCGCACAGACAGTCAAAATGTGAGCGGCGTCTTGATGCGGCGGCAGTGGAGAAATATCTTGTGTTTCTGGAGAAGACCTTTATTCTCCAAAATACGCTCGAAGAGTTCCTATTGCTCTCGGCCTCCTGCATATGAAAAGGGAGACTCGACGGCGGTGTAGACATGGATGTCACAGTTTCCGCGCGTCTCTAGAGTTTGAAAGCGTCCCGAGGTCTACTACGATCGATGTCCCTCGCCAGGTCGGCAACGTAGCAGGGAGATGCAGGAGAAAAGAAAAAAATACCATTTGAAACTGTTAATGGCACGATACATCATAACGCCGCGGTCCTTGGTTAACAGAATTCCAACGGTGGCGTCGGAGTTTCCATGTAAATGGTGCGTTCCAGTGCTATTCGCTGAAGAAACTCAATCACTAACTGCCTGAATCGGGGAAGGGGAACTTAGGGGCAAAAGGGAGAAGATGTCGGCTCCTTACTGCACTACGGCGAGAAAAAAACGCCACTTGCACAGTCCTGGCTAGAAACGAAGTAACGGGCTTGGAAATGGCCCAGATGCGGGGAGTACGGACATTGGGAATGTAAATTCCTCCCCAAATCAGGAAACGAGAAAACGATAAGAAGCGAAAGTAGACGGCAGTCGGCAAATTCGACAGTCAGAAAGCTCGGGGTGGGTACTGGGTACTGAGCGGCGCGTGCGCTTCCTATGCAACAAAGGCGACGTACTCCGACATTTCGAACTAATAAAAGGAACTGTGGAGGAGGAGAAGCAAGACTTTAAGTAGCACTCCCATGTTCTGTTTCGGGGAGAAACAGAGCCTTCAGGGAGAAGCCCTAACCCCCACGCAACGCATGATGCAATCATGGAGCCATATGTGGCAGCAGCCGCTCTTCCAGATGCACCTCTAGTCATGTATGCTTTTATCCGAGTTTGCATGAATGGGCAGGCGTTGCTAGTGGTAGTTGGCACAAGCAGTGAAATGGATTCGGCACCTTAAGCTATGGCGAAGGGGCACAACCTACCTGTCAATTCGCTGGCGGGGCCTCAACCACAGCGCTCCTCCGATAGCACATAGGGCAGGAGGACCGGCAAATGCATGGGCATAAAGGAGAGCACAGTTTGAATGGGAATATTACCATGATGTGGGCACTCTACGCTAGGCCAGTTCACTACGAAGTAATCCTAGGCATGCCGTGAATGATTCAAAGGAGAGAACGAACGCAACCTCCATAAGACACTGTTGAGGTCTATGCGTAGCAAGCCAGTGCGAGTGCCCACCTCGTCGATCTTCCAACAGCATTCCCACCCTCTACGGGGGATGCTGGTATTTCGGTCAACGCGGCTTGGGGCGATTTGATCCTATTAACAGTAAAAAAATAACAGAATTGTGGACATTTGAAGGAGACGCCCCTGGATGAACTCAGCGGCAACGAGCTTCAAAGGGGACCCCAACCAACTGGTTGCCCAATGCACCTCATACAACTCAACCCCAGCAGAGCCCCAAGTTTGGCTCCGGGGTATTCAATAAGCGACGAAGACACACCTAGGTTGCTCTGTCTCGTTAACTCTCTCGACGTGAATACGCACCGAAAGATACCGCCGAGAAAACAGAGAGTGCTACAGCAACTCCAGAACTGAGCCACCGGCACTTTTGGTTCTTTTTCTTGAAATGTGCGGCTCAGAGGAGACTTGAGAGGAAGAAGCTCGTGCGTACCCTCGAATGGTGCATAGCGTGCACAGACAGGACTAGTTCTTCAGGCCAGCTGCATTTTCCTCTGCATTTACATTCTCCTGTGGAACTAAAGAGCAAGGGGTAGGAGCTCGGGAGTTTGCCGGTGGTCTTGACCGCAAAATTGGGTTGGAAGAGCAGATCTCTATTCTACGCTGCCTACGACCTTTGTAGACTTTTTCTTTCTCACTATAAAAAATGGCTTGATTTCCCCCTATGTAAGTACTTCTCAGCGTTTACTATTTTTTGGCCGCGCTTTCTTCCCTTCCTCGACCTACCGCTAGCCTGACGCTGCGGCCGAGAAGACCCTCCTTTCTTTCATGTACTGGCTTTACATCTTATCAGCTTCCCTATGCTGGGGGTGGGAGGGGGCCCACCGGTTACATTTTGTCAGTAGGGCGTGCCTCCCATCGCAACCATGCTGCTTTTGTGGCATCGGCTGACCAGCAAACCCCACCCATGTGTGGGCCTTCATAACCCCTAGGTGTTCGCCACTAGCATCAGCAATACTTGGCAACGTTCCACAGGTTTTCGCTTCCACTTTAGTTTACCTCTTCTGTTATGGCAGCTAGCACATCTCGGGGTTCCCTTAGGCTCTGCTTCAGAAGCAGCTCTATGTACTTGTTTTCCCTGAGTTCGTTGGTTAACGGAGACCAAGTACGTGTTTAAAAATTGTCTAGGCTGTTAGCGCATGCATCACGAAGTTAGGCGTGGGTATGGCTCTGCGTTGTTCTAACATCTGGCAGTAGTTGCAGGAACAACTAGCGCAACTCAGGAAAGGCGCCTCAACCCAGCAGCCCCAAGCAGTTGTACTCAGGGATCCCATAATTCGTGAGTAGATGCTTGATGCCGGTTTCAAGGCATTGCCCTAAGCGCTGTTACTCCGTTGCATCTCATGAAGGCGTTCGGCTGAGCATGAGGGTTCTCTTTACACCCTAGGCTTTAAAATGAGCGCACCACGAGCAAACCGTAGCAAAGCGGTCACCTTTGACCTCGGCCCAAAATGCGAAGGAGCAAGGCCAGTCTACTTTGACTTCGCCGCCTCGATGCCCTAGTACCATGGCTACCGAAGGCTTGTCCGTCACGCCGGCAAACCGCTGCGTCCCCCGGTGCAGACGTAGGAGCCAGAGAAGTCCGACAGTAGCGAATGCATGCAGGAAATGCACACTGAATAGGGAAGTTCTTCTGTATAAGTTGATGGCAGGATTCTCTGCCTATCTATCGCCAACCCGGTGTCAAGGTAGTGGGGCCTGAGGAGGCGATTGTTCCTTAGGCTAGCAATTTCTCTTTACTGCCATCTTCACTTGTTTTGCTTCCAACTGAACTCAACGAAAACATGGCTAAGGGCACAAAGGGTGCGTGAATATTCCCGCCAGGGTTATGTAGTGGTACAGCCGCAGCGCCAGAATCCATGCATGCGGAAGAGGAAGCAGCAGCTAGCCGCATGGAGTAGGCCTTCCCCAAATAGTGCTGAGATAACTGAGGGAATTACCTCTCAGCAACTTGTCTGCATTGAAGGGCGTCAGGCTGGGCGTGTACTACTGCCGCCTACAGCGCCCAGACCAGTGGGTAATCAGGGGCGGTCCGTGTGTCCGGCAGATCCTTCGCTCCTGCACTCGGCATTTAATCCACCTTCTCTTTCAGAATTCTTCCATAAAACTCCAGTATAAGCTATGACCGAATGTGACCCTCGTTTGTTCCTCTGCTGCCCCGCGAGCCCCACTTGAGGGGGTGAGGGTGCAGCTCGTTCAGCGCGTTTTTGTAAAGAAGACTGTAGCTTATTTATCCCTTTTGCGGTTCCTTATGCCCACGAGCAACTGTGCAGGAGCCGGATCTTCTCAAGGGGGGATTCTGATTCCTTCGGACTTCACGCTTTCCACCAAAGAACGAGCGAGTTCCGCTTGCTCCCGCTATGCGTACACCCTCGGGCGGAAAATTTGTCTAGTCTAGGACTCTTCTTTCGAGAAATGCTAAATGGGGGCTGGACAGTCTTTGCATCACTTGCGCGCTGGCGAGGCGCCTGTTGCTGGGCTATCACGAATTAGAGCCACTCAAGCTGACGCAAGAACATCGCACAGCCAAACAACGATTCTCAGTGATGTTGCCCAACAGCCCCAGCAAAACATTGTCCGGGTGAGTGGTATCTGATCTATGCCTTGGCACCATGCTTTTCTACCCAAGAAAAAGAATCGCCATAGTTGGATGTTCAAGAAGTGGAGATGCAGTGATGGCCTGCCATGCGAGCAGTATTTTAGTCCTCACCTTCACATTCGTTGTAGAAATGCCTAGTTTCACAATCCTCAATATGGATGCGATGCCAATCTGCCATGCTAGCAGCACTCCATCCGTTGCCTTCACTTGCTTCGAGGAAGCATCAAGTTCCATTTGAATACCTTGCCCCAGTATGGCAGGGTTCTGGGTAGGGAGACAGCGTATTCGTCCAATAAATAACACTGGCGGGGTCACAGGGTGTGGAGAAACTCGGATCGTCACCCTGGGACAGTCCTGTGCTGGATAGTCTATTTTGCTCCGTTTCTGAGGATGCATGTGCTACTGCACTTGTCATGTGCTGTGATGTTCAGTATACGAGCCGCCTGATGCGCGATGCCATTGGAAATGCATACTCTTTTGACTTTTGCGTTCTGAGGAGAGACGATGCGGGTAAAGTGTGCAGAGTGACCTGTAGGCGCAGCGGACGCAAGGCGGAAGCCCTAGTTGTGCGGAAGCATCTCGAAGACCCGCTGCAGTTGGAGACGTTGAAGAAGGAGATTGAGATTTGGCTTTCGTTGGACCACCCGTATATTGCTAGGCAAGCCAAAACGAGTGTTGCGGTGTTTTCAGCACTTGTGCCCAGCCGGACCTGTATGCTTCCCAACCACGGAGGCCGAAAAGTTGCCGTACTCTGAGCAAATCATAGCCCAGAAGTAGGTGATGCTGATGCTCTCCTGTAGTTCGGAAGGTTTTCTCTTTCACTGAGAAATTGTGCTTTTGTATTCTTTGGGACGGGCAGGTTGCTCGAGGTGTTTGAGGACGATAGAGCTGTCTACTTGGTGTCCGAGTACTGTCCAGGTGAGTGAGCCTCCCAAGAAGTGTGGATCTGTTGGCGCATGGCTCTTGTGCCTCAATGGGGGCCAATTTACCTCGAGTGTAGTGCTTGTTCTGGGGATCCCCAGAGGTCTTCCGTGATTTCTACTTGTGTGACTCGTGTAATACTGAGAGGAATGGTAGTCTGCCTGTGGTCTCTTCATCATTTGCTGCAGGTGGCTCACTCTATGATTTTCTGTCGGCTATGCAGAAGTGCCCGGAAGAGGTGGCAAAGACTTGGACCCTACAAGTAAGGGGCCCTCCCCACCAAAAATATGGCAGCTTACGAGGACTTTTCTCCTCCAGTGGAATTCTGGAGTGCCGCTAGTACTGTCTTAGGCGAACCTTAGGAGATAGTATGGTGTCACGGAGCCGGTAGTAGCAATCACATCTCAGCGTTACAGCGGTTCTTGCTCACTGCAGATGGTGAGAGCGATTGGGTTCCTGCAAGGCTGTGGAGTCGTCCATCGCAACCTCAGACTCGAAAGCTGGCAGCTTACAAACCAAGGCTGCTTCCCCCCCCTAAAGCTTTATGGCCTTAGCCACTCCACTCGCTGGCACAAAAAGGAAGGCCGTCTCAATGCTGCTTGCGGCTTACTGGGATACACGAGCCCAGGTTAGCGGCACCAGAAAAGGTTGGTGTGTTGTTTTAGTTTAATCGCAAGGGGAACTATGACAGGATAGATACCGTGAAAGCAGAAACCCCGTCTCTATTTCCTCTGGGGCCTTGCTTTCACGGTGTTTGGCTGTCCAAGAAGGTGCAGCCGCCATGCCAGCGCAGTACAGCATATTCCGTCTTTGCTTCGATATGTGCTTGCATGCTGGGCCTGCTTGTGATGTCTACAGATGTTCTACTTGGGCGTTACACCGATGCCTGCGACATGTGGTCGTTAGGTGTTATTGGTAAGCCTTTGCTCATTGACGATGGGTCTCCCCCATTCGTGGTCTTGCACATGTTGCAACACCCCACCGATGCTATGTGCTTCCTTGCGTGTTTAGCCTCGTGTTTAGCCGCTTGTAGGAAGAAGGACTCATTCATGCTGTAATGAATGCTGCTTCTGAGTAGCTTCTCACGGCATTTCTGCAATGCCAGTGACCTGAGGTTGTGTGTTGCTGCTTATCTGCGTTCTTGCAGTGTATCAGCTGTTGTGCGGGCGCCCTCCCTTTGTCGGCACTCAGCGAGAGAAAATTCGTCAGATCCTTTCCGGCGATATCAACATGCTGTATCTAGAGTGAGCTTACAGCGGAGGCGCTGGTAGAATCTTCGGCAAATAATCCTGGAGTTTGGGGCTTCTTCACATCAGACAGAGCGTGGTCATGTGTAACTTTTGTATGGTCTGCGCAGGAAGGCAGGCGTATCCGACGAGGCAAAGTCCTTCGTTACGCAGTTATTAACAATCAGTCCCCAGTAAGGACCAAATGGCTATTAAAGCTGTTTCATGGTCTCATGTGGGTAGATGGTACTCAGATGCAACATTGCGTTGATGCGGCTGTGTATAATTGCCTCCGCAGTAACCGTCTTACCCCGCAACAAGCACTGGAGCACGTAAGCCAATTGAAAACGTCCTTGAGCCGTGCACTAAGAATCAGCTCAGAAGGTGCGCGGACATTAAGTGCGTGTATGAGCCCCGGGAATATCCAACTGCGCATATCATGGCTTGCCTCCAACAACGGGGCTTGACCTGCAAGGCCGTCCGGTTGCCGTGTCAATTGCCTTCAGCCCTGGCTCTTCGGACAGATGCTCGCACATCAACCATTTCCTCCTGCCTGCATAACTGGGTGCGTAGGTGCACCATAAGTAGCTATAGGAGGCAGCTCTTCATGCTCGGGCTTCCAGCGAGAGCAACAAGAGCAAGGCAATCAGCCGCAGGTTCCGGACCCGGAATGACACATACCTCAGCTTGCTCCGCATGTAGTCCTGGGGAATTTCGATCTCACTAACGCTTAATGCTAGGTGCTGTGGTCTTAATTATGCTTCCTCCTTAGGCTTTGCTGGTTCGCTAATAGCAGCACACTACGACGCGCTGCAGTCCTCATGTGCGCATACTGCCTCAACTCTGACCAGTGCGAGCGTGAGTTGTATAGGAGACCTACGCGATGCACTCTAAATTAACATGTTAACCATTTGTGCAGGCAGATAGTCTTGGGCTGAGGTTTGGTCCCAACAGAACACACTACGACGAGGCACTACCCAACCCAGACCGGAGGCCTCATAGGGGAAGCGCGCTCTGCGCGAAAGGTGTATTTGTGAATTGAGTCGCTTGACGTTTAGATACCAGCTGGGCTCGGCTTAGTATGACAGTTGTTTCTGGACTCTTCATTTGAAAGCGTTCTTGATCTACTCATTGCTGAGGGTCCTCCTTACTCATCTTGCTGCGCCGCTCCGGGTTCAGTGGTGGGCTCAGTGTTCGCTGGCGCCTCTCACTCCAGCGCTGGACGCCTCACAGCCGAAGACCTCAAACGGACACTGCAGAGGGAACAGCCAGAGCCTCTTGGAGACGAAGATGTGAGGCGCTTCACTCTTTCCCCTTTCCCACTCCTCCAGTTCTGTCCATTTTCCCGTGCTTCATCATGAAGTATCTAGTTTTGTCTTCCCGTAGCAACTTCCGCGTAGGGCAGAGAGAAGCATCCATGAACAGAGGAGCGCTCCTTTACAGAAAGTGCCACGCCTTCAGTCGCATCGTTCAAGCGCCTAGAGGCGCCGGACGGGACTCAGCGGCAAGCATGCATCGCCGCTTCCGTCTTGGTGCTGGCCTACGATCTGCACGCTAACCGCACGAATGAAGCAGCGATTGCTGCCCCGTTGTAGGCTATTCTCCCGAGATTAGAAGCTTATTTACAATTGTGAACATCACAACGATGTTTGTGGCTTACTTCAGGTAGAAGACATTTTTGATGCACTTGACGTCAACAAAGATGGAGAAATCATTTTCACGGGTAAGTGGTTACGTCAAGGCAGCACGAAAGTGAATAGCAAGTAGCCAGATGTAATCTCCGAAAGAAGATATCAGGCGCATACAACGAAATGAGTGATAGTTCAGAGTGCCCCGTTGGTTTATTGAAGGAGTAGCGCGGCGAGCCCTCAACTCTTCATGCTGGTGTGGATGCAGATGACCACACACTTCAGCCCGTTTGGTGAGAGGATGAGTATTCTTCCAAACAACGCTTGACTAAGTCATGCTTCGTTGCGGTGTTTGTTGCGAGAGATGCCTTACTACTGCAGTGTTCGCTGCTGCAATGATCGGCACGTTAGTGGACGCGGAGGACTCATTATTGCAGAAGGCCTTTACCAAGCTGGACGCCGATGGCGACGGTGAGATTTGCGAATGTCCACTTTTTTTATTAGGCTGAAGCTAGCGAGGGCTTTTGTTATATTTTTGGCACTAGACCAAGAATGCATTTTGAGTGCGTGTGCAAAATTTGTTTATTCGGTGAGCACAGGACGACTCTCTCTCGATGACTGCCGCTGGGCATTCGGTGGAACGCTGTTTGGGCAGAGCCCCGTTACAGCTCTGGAGCAGGAGGAAAATGAAGATGGACCTTTGGGTAGGAGCATGCATCGACTGAGTTAAACAATAACCAGCTGGAGTTTTACCTGTAGGGCGTATCCCGTTGCAATTGGAGCACCCTGACACACTGTGTTACTCAATTCACAGTCGAATGAACGTAAAAGTGTAGCATTGACCTGTTGGCGGCGTTCGCAGATTATGACCATTTCGCGGCGTTGGTTCGCGAAAAAGGGAAGCCAGTGCACCGCAGGGTGTATAAAACACGGTGCGTTGATGCCCTACTTTTTCAGTGCTGAGCAGAGACCTCCAGAGATTCCCAAGCCCTTGCAGCTGGTTTCTCCATGCAATACCAGATGCCGTGAGCAGCATTGCATCCGTGGAGAAAGCTGACCTTTTTGTGGCGTGCACGTTGTGGCAGGTAAGAAAGACCCTTGACCTTTATGTTGATACTTGTGAAGGGTTCACCCTCCCTGTTGATTTCGCTTTATTAATTGTTCATTGTATTGCAGACTCGCAATCGATCGCACTCAGAGTGAGCCACACGGCGGTGAATGCCCTGTGCACCACCAGTGGGTAAGTATGCACTCGATCACTCCAACAAGTCCTGCTGTGGCAGGTGGATCAGATGGCACAGGCGTGCTAAGGGAGAGGAGTCAACCTCAACGCGATTCAGTGGAGATTCCTGAGGATCAGCGGCGGCGGGGAGCCGGTAATGGTTGCGCAACTTCATCAGCTTCTGCTGGTGTTGTTCCACTCGCATCTTTGTACCCTCCGTCGAAACAAAAATCTTCCGCAGCACCACCAAATTGAGTGTGCGCTCGAATTGCGATGCTGCCTGAGCTTTTACCCTAGTACTAACGGTGGCCTGCAGGGCTTGCACTCCTAACAATTACGGATGTGTCGCTTCACGCGGAACCGCCATTCCTGAATTTGCAAACCCGCTGAGTAACAATTTCTTTCAGCAGGCCCACAAAGCAACAGCAATTTATCACGGAGCGTATGTTTGATGGCACGCTTCCGCTTAGAACTGTCTCCCTAGCTAGTTCGCGTAAAGGCAGGAGTTCGAGTTCCTTCTTTTACAGTCTTTGGCGCATGTAGCATAATTGCGGAGTGGTCGTGGCAATCTAGGATACTTCTCCAATTTCTCCTTCTCCAGCTGCAGATTATCAAACAGCTGGCACTTGCGTGGCAATACGTTCAAATGTAACTTGCTTAAGGGCGCTTGCCAGCTTCGAACCAGAACTTGCAGGGGACGGGAAGGGCTAGCAGATTCCAGCACACGTTTTTCCAGTTATCCGATTATTTCTTAATGCTGGGATATCCCTTACTCCCTTACACAATTGGGCGAAAATTCACTTACGAAAGAGGCTATAAATTAGTAGACAAGGGCATAGTGCTGCCGGTCTCTCTGTCTTGGTTGCCACCTACGTTAGTTCACCTTCCGGCGCAGGTTGCGTAGGAATAGTGAATGAAGTGAAAGAGGGAAAAGCAACACTGAGCTTGCAACTTCAAGGACTGCTGGGTTAGCTAAATTCTCGCTATTTCCAGTGGTCCCACCCCTGCCGTCCCCGTCCCTTACAAGCAATTATTTCACCACTGTCCGCCTGTAGCCATTAGCAACCATGACAAATCACCATCCTCTAAATGAACGGTGGCCCACAATGAGTTAGAGGCGAAGTGGCCTGTTTTCTAGCGAGTTTTCCATCATTTTGAGCGGTGGCTTTCTGCCTTCAGCTTGCGGGGAGAGTCAGGTCACTTAGTGCCGAAGATCCGCTTTTCCCTTTCAACTATTACACCTTTGCCAACTGAAAAAAAAATATTGTTAGTACCCAAATTGCCTAATTGGAAAAATTAGCAGCTTCAGGTAGTCAATAGACTCTTAAACAATGAGCGTAGGTCTAAAAAGGCGCCGCAGACCGCCACCTGCCACCGAACCACACTCGAGACCCAGCGGCCACTTGAGGTCTCTGGACTTCCGCAAACCGGTACACTGACGCCTGTCTCCTTCACTCAGACTATTCTTTTGATTATCTGAAATCCATTAATCCAACTTAAATCTTGCAGCTTTCTAGTGTTCGCCTTGGCGAATGCTGTTGAGCATTGGGTGGAAAAGTTCATCACAGCATTAATGACGACTTGCCGCCACATCAGTCCCCGCCCGTGTCAGAACCCTTTCCTTCCTTTTCCAACAGAGGTGAAGAACCATTATTCTTTTTACAGCTACTCGTCTACTCAGAAGAGATTGAAACTGATCCATTCTCATGGAAGCTGGACTATTTTCTGCGTGACAGTTCGAGTTGCAAATCGGCTAATAACTGCAAGAAAGGTACAGTCTTCCCAGACTCCACCCCTCCATCTATTACCTAGGCCTGCAAATCTGATCCGCTGGCTGATCTTCAGGAGTTGCGCCGGTCAGCATGAGTTCACAAAACGCAACGTCCTTCGTAAGTGTACATTATATCTGGTTGGTTCCGCCTGAGTCGTGAGATGCTCTACGGTGTCCTGCCATGTCTTCAATGCAGGCTTTGTCTCCGGTGCACGAACTCCAGCGGAGAAAGTGGCGATCTCAACGTCGCTTCAACTCGGGCTTGCCTACCTCTGAAAAGTAGGTGATATGCTTGGCCCAAGTGATGGGTTAAATAAGAATTCTCGTGTGCTATTTGAGCAGGGGCATGCAAAAAGTGGTCAACTAAGCTATTATGGCTTTGTATCCACTCCCTTTTGGCACTTTCTTTCATTTTTTTTCCAGTCACTCAGCACTTTTGATTCTGCCTTTGCACTGCTTTTTCGCTGCGCAGCTGGTACACAGCATCGGGTTGTTCAACGACCAACTAGCAGACCCCATCATCGACCTATCATGGATCGTCTTCCCGATCCCGCGGTGCAGCACTCGACTGCCACCCCCAGTCCTTCAGCGCTACCAAGCTATGCAGGGGTGCATTGTGCCTTGATGAGATCTGAGTTACTGGAGCGGCTGCGGGTTTGCGCAGCTCTAGACAGAAGATTCTTCAAGGCCTGGTTCGATGAACTTGACATTGAACGCTGCAGCAACTTCAGCAATGTTGTAGGAGTGAGCAGTGACCTGTGCGTTCAAACAGAGTGGAACGAGGGCCTTCATACTCACGACCGTTCATGTCAGGAGGCCGACGAGGCTGCATCTCACAGGATTTCTTTTGAACTGCAAGATCTTGAAGAAAGAGAAAGAAGACTGACCGAGCATGCAAAGGCCATAAATCGTCAATACGAAGACTTAATGGCAGAATTGACCGAACCGGCGCATAACGGTGCTGTTCGTGTTTCTGGTTGCCCTGTCCCACCCGACCATCAGGCGAGGGGAATGCGACGTCTTCCCCGTATTGCAATGGTCATTTCTGCAAAGGAAGAAGAGCAAAAAAGCCACTTGTATCACCTACGGCATTGGAACGTCAACATCAGTGGTGTGAATATTCCGAGCCTTCCTGGTCTCCTTCTCGAGTTGCCTGCAGATGAGGACGTGTGAGCCCTCCAAACTGTCGCTTCTCACGTAAAATGCCAGCGTTGATTATTTCTTTCTAACGCTGGGCAGCCCTGACACAATGCGACCACGCACAGTGGCCGAATCGTTTTTGAATGGCACAATGAGTTCATTTTATAAAAGTTGCCAAGCCTTTGAGGCGGAGGGAGACAGCCACAATGAACTCGCTGTAATGTAACAAGTATAAAGGACGTTCGAACATAGTGCAAGAAAATATTTCGGCTTCTAAGTGTGCGGAAAGTATGTCAAGGGAAGGGACATCGTTGGAAACACGGATCTGGACACTCTAATAGCACTGCCAGATTCGACAAGCGTGAAGCATTAATGAGCTATGTAAAATCTCACTGGTGCAAAAGCGAGTCTGGTATGTTTCAGTTACTTTTGAGGAATCTGCTGCAGCGCACGAGCCTACTTCGTAGTATTGTACAACTATTTTCTGCAGGCGAGTTGTATAACAAAGCCTCTTGCGCCCGATTAGTGCAGTGTCCCCTTCAACATCAGCACGTCCCCACAAGCCATAGCAGCACTCCAGGTCCGGTGTCAAAGCAAAAACCGACAAAGCACAACGCTTACAGTCATCCACTTAAATAGCTAGTGCTAAAGCAGGTCACGCCGCCAAAGACTCGGTGCAGGCGTGCAGTCGAATACACCAGTAATTCACTATGAGCTGCTTACCTCGGCGGTCATATCTTTTACTTAACCGGTGTCTGCCAGCGCTTTGTCTTCTTCAGTATGCTATTTAGTACACCTGCTCTTTCTGTGTAGTGCACTCACAAGAGTCTCGAGTTGCGCGCCGAAATGTACCCGGCTTGTTTGAACAATCACAATGCAATTCACCATCCTGACTATTGGCGTAGCAATTACGCGTATAGACCTGGTTAGCACGACTATGAAAAATAGATTCGGCTCCGAGAGACGAGGCGTGTCTCTACAATGCGGGGCATGCGCACGAGCAAATAGGAAAAAACAGGTTAGAGACGTCAGCAGCCAGTTTTAACTGTCCAGAAGGGTGTGAGAAAGAGCTAATGGTGTGCTCGGAGGAGTGAGTACTAGTAGACCGTCAACAGGTTCAATTGTTTCTCCTTCGCGGAGAAGAGAAGGAAGCTTTGGACGGTACACTCCATCGGTCGCAAAGTTGTGATGATGAATATCATACAGCTGATTTGTTTGCTCCTCTTCCTTTGCGGAAATCACCATCCCAATGCAGCTGAGACGGGTCAGGCCCTGCACGGCCGGTATGTAGAAGGCGGGCGAATCAGGAGAAGAGGAAACATCGTAAGGCATGGATTGTGAAAGTTCAGCTTCTAGAGCTGCGTACTGGCGATTGAGTGATTCTTCGCGGTCGATGGCCATTTTTTCTCTTTCATCGAAATTGTGAAGATATACCAGCATCCTACGAAGTGCATCTTCCGGAGCTTCCTGGCTCGTGTTGCAGTCGAGATTCGCAGCTCCATCAGCGATCCTGTTGAAACCGCTTTCGCTGCTAGCGCCTGTTCCGCCATAGCTATTGCTGGATCGTTCTGTGTAGAGGGCATGGAAGCAGGCACGGAAAAACTCTCTGTCCAGATCAGCGCATCGCCGAAGCCTCTCTAAAAGCTGGCACCTCCTCGGTGCTGGCCGCAAAGTGGCGCGGCTTGAATATGGTGAGCGCCTGGGGCTTTCAGGCGACCCGAGCACTGCAGAATCTGGAAAACGATCCATTGCGAGCCTCTGGCCCAGTTGTCACCACCTGCGTAGCATGACAGCAAGACAAGCATTGGTCATGAAATGCGGAACACAAGCACAATAGGCACGGATTCCTCCAGGAGAGTTAAGCAAGCAAGATACAATCAGTACAATCGCATACTGGCTTAACAAAGTAGCTTCAGTGGACCAGCACACGCAAGACACGCAGAGGCTGAAGTGGTGTGTGGACTGTAGACTGTAGAGAACAAGCATTTCAAGCAAGCAGAGATATGTACAAAGGAGAAGGGCGTGTCTACAAAGTGCACATTCCGGCGGCAAGAAGTCAATCAGCAAGCGGTAGTTGCTGCTCCTGCGCCTCACTATATAGGATGTATTAAACCCAGCACGGAGAAACAGCAGTCTTGCCCCGCTCAGAAGAGCAAATACTTCACTTTAAAATGTACAAAGTGGGCCTATTTAGTCCTGATTGAAAGCTGGACAAGAGAAGATGGTGTTGCTGCAGATGCAGCTTTGAGCAACTTGATCATCTGTTTAGACCAAAGGACTTCTGACCAGTGGACTCAAGATCAAATATCTAGTTGAACGAAAGACAGCGGCAAATCCTGTGTGTTTCGTTAAATTAAGAATACTAAACATATTCACGGAATGTGTGTAAGGAACGTGAGAGCAAACTAGGCAGCCATTTGCCCTTGCCGTGAAGCCTCGCTTGGCTCTCCTATCGAGGGTGTGTCGGTGGCCAGCGGCCCATTTTCTGGTCCCGTCTCGTGCTCAGCCTGCTCCTTCTTGCATTTCAGGTTCTATACTAGGTTTTAGAACAATAAATCAACAAACAATTTGTACTGTGCGTTTAATTTCGCACGAGTCTTCAATAATTATGGGTTTTTATCTGGCGACGGAGGACTGTAGGGCCGCTCCTCCTTGCCCGAGTGACCTGCAAGGGTTTGCCCCCATATAGCTGCAGCGTACGAAAGATCTAAAAGAAGAATTTATTGAAACATAAAAAGTACAGTTATCATGTTGAATTGCACACAAGCGTATTTTGCGGAGTGTGTCCGCTCTGGTGGATGGTCACGTGCAGGTTTTCGGAAGCAGCCGACGCCGTCAGCTGCTGGCGTTCGTGCTGACCGCACACATTTTCAACAATCCTGAATGCATTAATGCCTTTAACAGGAACAGCCAATCTATTCTAGCCCTATGAGGCGGTGTCTTTTGTGGTAGCTAAGACCGCAACGCGCGTTACAGGGGCAGTAGCTGCAAAACAGCTTCCAGCTGGCCTGGGCATGGTTGCTTAAAAGGGCGCGTTCGACTAAACAGTAACGACACCTGTGAGCACCTAAGAACCATCAACCAAAGATAATCTTTGCTCTATTCAATTACTAGCGGGCAACTCGTGGTGCCTTCCCCAGGCGCCACGCGCTGCCTTCTCCTCCGGTACGCAAGACATTTCCTAATAGGAGGAAAATAGCTGGTATTTATACAGGTAAAACAGATTATATGGACGAACATTGCTAGTAATAACATGGCGAGAAGGAGCTCGGCGTGTGAAAGACGGCACTATGAGCACTATTAACGGAGAACCCCAGAGACAGGACTGGTGACCGGACATTCTGTGCCTCCCTTTGCGTGCGCGGGTGCTACTGCTGCGGCGCTTGCAGTTAAGCATAAATGCGCAGATGCACGGATTTGCTGCTATCAGCAGGCAAAAAAATATACAAGTGGTGGCGAAGGGTTATTTTCTAAACGAATGTCTGTACAAGACCTATTATATGGCAAGCTGCCGTTTGTTCATACTGTTGCAGGAAACCTAAACGGAAATTCCCTTAAATACATGTTGAAAGCAGCCTAAAGAGAGCAAATGAGAGAAGAAGCTTGGTACTAACATCAAAAACACACTGCTGGCCCCTTACGGGAGGGCCCACGGAATGAGCGCCACTGCCAGAAGAGCAACACCTGAGTTGCAGTCAGTCGTTGGGAGGGAAGTCGCCGGGCGGTTGCTGCAGAAGTCTTGAGGGACAAACAGCAGCAGTGCCTGCATGCAGTGTGGCTGGAGTTGCCGCACCGACTTGAGCAGCAAACAGATCAAGGTGCTCATTAGAGCCAGTCCTTTGCCGCTTCAACCTGCTGTCCCGTTCACGCCAAGGAAGTGCTTCATCGCTAAATTCTTCCGCTTCGTTTCCACTGCATAAGCAGTGACTGCGGCTTTCTTTCACACGGCTAACTGAGAACTGCTGCTGCTGCTGCTCATGCTGCTGCTGCTGGAGCTGCGGTTCAAACGTATCCAGGTCCAGGAGAGCAGAACGCAGGTGAACGAACTCACGGCGGAGCACTTCCTGCCTCTGTTGTCGCCCTGCTGCAGAAGACTTCTCAGCCTCCCCTGCAGTTGCTTCAGATTCCGCTTGCTGCAATCTCAGAGCAGCAGATGCAAGACACGCGACCAGCATGTCTCTGCGTCTCTTCCGCTGAAAGCTGCCCCTGCGGAGACCCACTGCTTGCTCGCCTCCATCCCAATTAGCCATAGCTGCTCCTGCGTGAGCTGCTGCTGCATGCAGCAGCAGCTCTCCGGCGGCAGCCGGGCTCTCCGCCGGAGCTAGCCTGTTCCGTGCTGCTGGCGCCCCCCATTCTCTTGCTGCAGCGCTGCCACTGGCCTTGGGGCCCCCCGTGCCTGTGTCCCGAGTTGCTTCGGCGAACCTGGGCTTTCTTCCAGCGGCACTGCCTGGTAGTGGGTCTTGTTGGTGGTGCTGTTGCTGTTCCTGCTGTTCTCTTGCTGCTGCAGCCAAACCAAAGGATGCCTCTGCGACTGGTGCTGCTGTGGCGAAGGGTTTTTGCTGCTGACGCATCAGCAACGAGCCGAGGTGACAGCAGCACATTGCCTTGATGTAGGCAATTTCAGCTACGATATCCTGAGACCAGCTTTGTGCCAATTGATGCTGCAGCAGCAGCTGCTGCAGCAGCGGCAGTAACTGGATGGCTCTGGAGACACGCCCCAGCAGCAACTCTACCATCGCGACACGGAGCTGGAGGTACATATATAGGACCGGCTTCTGTAGTAGCAACGCGGCTGCAGCTTCCCGCTGCAGCTGCTGCAGGAGCTCCAAACCCGCGGGGCTGATGCTTCTGCTGCTGGCTCCCATCGCCGCCAGTGCGTCCAGCTGTATGTCCAGCTGCAACAGCAGCAAAAATTCCCTGTGTGGGGTGGCCTGAAAGCAGCAGGCACAGCTCGGCGAGTCTGCTCCTGCTGATGCAACAGAGAGCGCTGATGGCTGCAGTGCGGACACCCCAGTGCAGCAGCAGGAGCGCAGCAGTTGCTGCATGTGCAGCAGCGGTAGCTGCTGTCGGGCAGAAGCGGCCAGTAATATGGACTGCTGCAGCAGCAGAGCCCTCGCAGCGCCCGGCGTTGCAATAGCATCAGCACGCAGATGTGTAAACCCCCAATAAGCAGCAAACAAGGCAGATCCCCGGCTTTCGCTTGCTGCAGCAGCAGCGGCAGCCTGAGTCAGGGCTAGCTCTCCATCTGCTGCAGCTTTGTGCAGCCGCAGAAGCTGCCTGTACACCTTGTCTGCTGCTGCTGGCTTGGTTCCTCGCGTTGCTCTATCGACGAGCTGCATTGGGAGGCCCCCCCTACTCCAGTGGCAGGCTGTTGCTGCAGCTGCTGAAGCAGCCTGCACTGCAGCGAGGAAGGGACAGAAGCTGTTGCAGCGGAGCTGAGGAGCATAGAGGCACTGGGCAGAGCGCAGAGCCCCTAGCGGTAAGATGCGCGGACAGTTGTAAGCTATCTGCAGCAGCAGCAGCAGAGCAGCAGCAGCCGTATCGCCATCCATTCCTGCATGCAAAGAATCTCCAAGTTCTGCTACATTCGTGTGCAGGGCCTTATGACCACACTTCCTGCTGTAGCTGCTGCAAGTGCTGCAGCTACTGGTGCAGGTTTTTTCGCAATGCCAGCCCATTCTGCCTCCCCTGCAACTAACTCGCCTCTTGGCCTGGCAAGAGCCCCCAGGCCAGCCGAACAAATTCATGGTGCGGCGCAGCAACTGCAGTAGCAGCAGCCTCAGTTGCACTGCTGCTGCTGCAGGCGGCTGCTGCTGCGTCCCCCAGCAGCTTCCGACCAACACGTAACACCGCAGCAGCAACACCTTGTTGCGAAGCTCAGCACAAAGTCGATACTGCTGCTGGCGGCCTCCACAGGTGTCTCCCAGCGGATCGCCAGGGATTTTGTTGCTGCTATCGCTTCTGCTGCTGCTGCTGCTCAAGGCGTCGAAGGAAGACCAAAGGGAAGCCATGAGGCGAGCGCATGCATCCCCTATTTCAAAAAAGCATGAGACAGCCTCTTCGGCTGCAACAGCAACAGCTGCTTCCGGTGTTGCTGTAGCTACCCGAGGCAGACGCCGCTGCAGCAGCTTCTGTTGCACGGCAGAGACATCTGCATGCGGTACTTCAAAGCGGAAAGACATTTCATCCCCTATTTCTTCTTCTCCCGCTGCTGCTGCTGCTGCTGCAGCGGAACTTGACTCGGTTGCTGCTGAGTCGCCTCTAAAGCCAATAGGTCTGCTGCTGCCAAGGCGCCGTCGCTGCTGCTGCTGCTGGAGCGAAGCTACTGCTGCAGTGTATCTGGTCATACACTCCAAATGCCACTTAGGCCTCGTTAGTCTGAACGGCTCCGCTACATCTGGGCCAGTTAGCAGCAAACCAGCAGCTGCAGCAGCAGCGGCAGAATCAGCCACCTCAGCAGCTGCAGCAGCCAATGCTGATGGATTTCGGCAGGCCTCCACAGAAGGCCGTAACAAGCAACAACTTCTGAGACAGCTGCTACTGCTGCTGGAGCTGCTGCTGCCGCTGCTGCTGCTCCTGGAACTGCTGCTGCACGCCGCGTTGTCCGCGCAGGCGCAAATGCTCGGCCCCGCATCTCTGCCGGCAAATTGGGTTGCTGCCTCAGCTGCTGGCGGTGCAGATGGTGACTGGGCTGCTGCTGCTGCTGCTTGAGCCCCTCCTGAGAAATTATATGTGTTCCCCTGCAGCTGACAGTGCTGTTGCTGCTGCTGCTGCTGGGGCGCACTGGAACACTGCTGCACCTGCTCCAGCAGGCCCTCCATTTGCGAGATGGGTTCTTGAATTTCCTGCTGCACGACGCCTCCCTGCTGCTGCAGCTGCATATGCTGGACGTCCCACTCCTGTTGCTGTGCCTGCTGCTGCTGCTGTTGCTGCTGCTGCAGCGGCTGTGTGGCAGCGACAAGCTGCAGGTGGCGTATTGCTGACTTAAGAGCTTGCAGCAGAGTTGTGGGGTCTGCAGCTAGCTGCCCCACGAGCTGAGGGTGGCTCTGCAGCAGCAACGCGAGGTGCAGCGAGATGGTGCCTACAGCATTCAGAGACAGCAGAGCAGGCCAGGGGGAGCTGCTAGACAGCAGCATTAGCACTCCTTCCGGTCGTCCTGCTGATGCTCCTGCTGCTGCTGCTGCTTCTGCTGCTACTGCTGCCGAAGGAGGTACCCAACCACCAGCAGCAGCTACTGCTGCCGCAGCTCTTTGGCTCGCCGTAGCTGACCCAGCAGAATACAACCCAGCAGTACCTGCTGCTGCGTTAGCTGTTGCTGCGTTTGCTGCTGCTGCTGCTTCCGGGGCTGCTGTGTACTGCAGCAGTTGTGCTGCGTGTCTCAAGGCGATCAGCAGCAGCTGCATCGCAGCAACATAGTTGTGTTTACCCAGCTGCAGCAGCGCTGCAGCCAATGCATGCGAGCTTGCAGCGCCGCTGCTGCCGCTGCCTTGAACCATATTCCTAAACACAAAACAAAGAGCGCAGCATAAGGCTTGCAATACATCACAGCTCCTCCCGCCATCCCCTATAAAGTTGCAGCATGCGGACCTCTCAGAGACTTCCTGCTGCTGCTGCTGCTACTACTAATACTGCGCCAGCTGCTGCTGCTGCTGTTGCTGCAGCTGCTGTTGCTGGAGCTGCTGCAGCTCGTGAGGCGTGTCTATCTTTTACAACTGCTGCTAGATCCGCTGCTGCTACTGTTGCTGCCGCTGCTCCTGTTGCCTTACCCTGCAGCAGCCGCAGCCTCGTCTAGACGCCCCAAGTGCAGCAGCACAGCAAATACGTTCATGTTGATTTGCTGCAGCAGCGAAAGGGCTCTTTGCTTCTCAAGGATCGCGACGCCGCCGCGGCTGTTGCTGCTCCTGCCTTCGTTGCTGCTGCTTGTGCCCGGCAGCAGCTGCAGGCTGTGGGTAGCTACAGGCAGCAAGCCCGCAGCAGCAGCAGAAGCAGCGCCTTGCAGCCCCAAGGAGAGCCAAGCAGGTACTGCCGCCCTTATTGCTGCTTCCATCAGTTCTGGCGAGCCGCAGGGCCCAGCAGCAGCAGCAGCAGCCGCTGCTGCTGCTGCTGCTGTTAGCTCCACTTCACTTGCAAGCTCAAGGGCCTCCTCACCACCCCCATGCTGCAGCAGCAGCCGCTGCTGCAGCAGCGCAGTGGGGTAGCATTGTAGAGGAGGTTTCGTGCCCCCGCTGTGCTGCTGCTGTCGCAGCTTCTCCAGCTGCTGCTGCTGCTGCTGCAGCTGCTGCTTGTGGAGCTGCTGCAGCAGCTCGAGGCCCTCGTGCAGCGGAAGGCAGTGCGAAAGCCTGCCAGAGAGGAGACCTGCGGTCCCTCGCTGCAGCAACAGCAACAAACAGCAGCAGCAGACAAAAGAAGCAAACACACGCGGTAGTCGTGAGAATACCCACTAAACCCTCAATGGCGTAAGCAGCCAGCAACAACCAGCAGCAGCAAGCCAGCAACAAACAGACAAACGCAAGCAAACAAACAAATCCTTACCTGCGAGGCAGCCTCGCTATACCTCCCTCCTGATGCATGCACCTCAGCGGACCCCACATCCCGACAGCAGCAGCAGCAGCAGCAGCAGCAGTCCCCTTGTTTACACCGTAGCAGCTCCTGCTGCTGCCCGTCGTTGCTCCTGCTGCGAGGAACTTCATGCCTGAGGCAGCCGCGTGCTGCTGCTGCACCTCTAGAGCGACAACCCTTGAGCCGCTGCTGCTGCTGCTGCTGCTGACTCCATTCATGCTCCTGTTGCTGCATTGCCTCTGTAGCTGGAGCAGCAGCTGCTGCCGCTTCAGCTGCGCCTTGTACCCCAACAAGGCGCCGTGTTGCAGCAGTTGTTGCATGCACGCAGAACCCCGTCAGGCCTGCTGCTGCGCCTGCTGCTTGTGCTGCTGCTACGTCTGCTCCTTGTGCTGCTGCTGCGTTTGCTCCTTGTTCTGCCTTTGTAACTCAGCAAGCCAGTTCGTACAGGCTCCCGCAAGATCTGCTTCTGACGCCACGACATTGGGGCGCTGCTATGCTTCTGCTGCTGCTGCTGCTGCTATGCCTGCCGCTGCTGCTGCTGCGGTGATGCTGTGGGGCCCAAAAATTCCTTAAAACATAGCTGTCATTACACCTGCCACCTTGCTGCTGCTGCTCCTGATTCTGCTTTTGCTGCTGCTGCCGGTGCCACAGCTGCGGCTGCATCTGCTGCTGCGCCTGCAGCTGCTGCCAACCACCACACTACTACTGCTGCTGGTGCTGCTGTTGGCAATGCGAGACGCCCGCAGCCAAGGGCCTTGCTTCTGCTAGCGCCGTAAGTATCCCTGTGAATCCTTTAGTGGCGTCCCTAGCTCGCTGTTCTGCAGCAGCAGCAGCAGCAGCACCTCCAAGCAGCAGAACCGACCGCAGCAGCAGCAGCGCCTCGGTAGGACGGCCCTTCGCTCTCAAGCGTAGGAAGAAGCAGCCTCAGGTGCCGAGCAGGTGTAGCACGTCTACTGGCTGTGCAGCTGTTTCTGCTGCGGCGGTTGCTGCTGCTCCTGCTGCTGCTGCCGCTGCTGCCGCCTGGCTGTCTGCTGCAGCTACCTGCAGCAGCAGATACTCACGCAGGGGCCCTCTGCGAAGCTCTCTGTGAAGCTGAAGCAAAAGCAAAAGATGACTCCTGAATCTGAGTAAGAAGTGGCTGTGTATAAAGGCTCAAGGCCTTTGTCCAGCTGCAGTCTTGGGGCTCCTGCTGCTGTTGCTGCTGTTGCTGCTGCTGCTGCTACAGCTGCCTTGTCCTCTACAGTCTCTGTCCCATTAGGCACATGCAGAAGGCAAAAAAACAAATTTTAAATAGGGGGAGGCTCCTTTAGCTTGCTGTCTGAGGAGGCGCTCGTGCAGCGGAACAACAAACCCCACCCCCGACCGCCCCGTTGGGGCTGCTGCTGCTGCTGCTGCTGCTGCTGCGGCTGTTGCCGCTGCGGCAGCGACGGTGGTGGCTGCTGCTGCTCTCAGCAACCGATAGCAACCGCTAAGTTGCTCTCTCTGCTTGTAGACAACAGATCTCAGCCCTCCCTGAAGGGCAGCAGCAGCAGCAGAGGCGCTGCTGCTGCTCGGCCTCCTGTCCGTACCGCTGTTGTGGAGTGCCTCACAGAATAGCAGCAGCAGCCGCCACCGCAGCAGCATCAGCAGCATCAGCAACAGCAGCAGCAGCAACAGCAACAGCAGCAACTGCCAGACGCATTCATGCCGCACAGCCCACTGGGGGCCCTAGGGGCCCCCGCAGCCGACGGCTGTGGAAGACCCCCGGGCGCGGCAGCTGTGAGTGCAAAGCTGTGTGCTGATCTGAAGGGGGGGCCCGCAGAAGCAGCAGCTGCTGCCGCAACATCACCAGCAGCAGCAGAAACATCAGCAGCAACAGCCATTTTGTGGGAGGAAGAGCTTAGCAGCGACCAGGGCCTTTGTCTGCTAGACCTGCAGGTACGATACTTTAGATATATGCTGTTACTAGCTCTGCTGCTGCTTCTGCTGCTTCCTGTGCTGCTGATGCTGCTGCTTCCTGTGATGGTGCTGCTGTTGCTCCCCCTGCTTCTGCTGCAGTCAGCGTCCGTGCGCATGCGCTACTAAACGCCTTGGTAAATAGAGGAGATGGCAGCAGAAGGGGTCATCTGCTTGTTGCTGCTCTGTTGCTACTGCTGCGGCTCTTGCTGCTGCTGTGCAGGGTGAGGCCCTTATGGCCGTTCAAGCGTCTCCGGGTGCAGCAGCAAAGTTGGTGCCGCTTCAGGCCTCTGTGGATGGAGAAGGAGAGAAACAGCAGCAGCAGGAGCAGCAGAAGCAGGAGGGTGATGGCTGCGAGCTTTGGGGGCTAGTGCGTTGGCCGTCTGCTGCTGCTGCTGCTGCTGGCAACAGCGGCAGCTGCTGTTTGCATGTGGGGGGAGACAGCCTCGAAGGAAAGGTTAGCCCCTTTGCTTCTGCTGCAGGTTCGGGGCCTCTGGCTGTGCTGCGACGCGTGTGGCGGCCGTTGCTGCTGGATCTCGCGGGGTGTACGTACACCTCAGCAGCAGCAGCAGAAACACAAGCTTGGGAGCTTCAAGGTACTGTTGAAAAGACTCTGTCCTTCTGTGGCCCTCCAGTGCTGAATCCTTTTAAGGAAGTCTTTGCTGCGCAAGCAGCAGGCGAGGTACCGCAGCAGCAGCAGCATGGGACAGCAGCAACACCAGGTCCTGTTGCTGCTGCTGCTGTTTCCACGGCCGAGGCAGCAGCTCCTGATGCACCCGACAGCGACGCAGTCTGGCTCATTGCGGCTTCCCCTCTGCTGCAGCAAATGCAGGGGTCGTGGCAGCTGCTGCAGCTGAACGGTGCGCTGCGCGAGGAGCTGCAGCAGCAGCATCAACAGCAGCGGCTGCTGCTAGTGAAGGGGCGGCCTGCTGTACTTCCTCCCCCTCCAACTGCTGCGCAAATGCGCGAAGAGAGCGAAGCTGTTGTCTGCTGCCGCAGCTGCACTTTCAAGCTCTCTCAGAACACCATAGACGGAGAGGTGCTGGTATGCTACAGAAGTGCTGCAGCAGCACCTGCAGCAGCAACTGCAGCATCCGCTCCAGCAACAGACCACCAGGTCATGCTTCTGGACGATGACAGCAGCAACGCCAGCAACAACGGCAGCAACAGCAACAGCAGCAGCAGCAACGGCACCAGCAGCAGCAGCAGGGAAGGCAGCCAAGGGGTTGCAATTATGGGTGTGTGCAGGTCGGTGCTGCAGCTCGAAAAGTCGCGCGGCCGCCTGCAGCAGGTGCAGCAGCTGCTGCAGCTGCCGCTGCAGCAGCTGCTGTCTGTACACCCGGACGCAGTGCCAGCAGCGGCTGTTGCTGCAGGCCGCACGGTGCTGCCTTCTACTTTGCTGCTACAGCAGGTGCAGGCTTCACCAGTGGAGATTGCAGCACTTCTCTTGGGTGACGCTGGCCTCTCGTTTGAAGCCACCGCATCAGCAGCAACAGCAGCAGCAGCAGCAGGAGCATCCTCTGCTCAGCAGGCATCGTCTGAGGCAGCGGCAAATCTGCAACAGCAGCATCTGTCTGAGCTGCTGCAGCAGCTACCGCCTCTGTGGGGTGAGCTGCCTTCTCCCTCTTCTGGAGTTGTTCTCTTCGATCCCGATATTGGTGGGTACTTCGTTGTCTCTGCTGCTGTGCTGCGCAAGTGGGTGCTGCGCATAGCTGACTGTCTGGCCCTGGGCAGCAACAGCAGCAGCAGCAGCAGCAGCGAATGGTTTAGCGTTGGCTGGGCGTTGGATGCCATCGAAGAGTGCGTGCAACAGCACGGCCTTGTCGTGCCGGGGCTGCGTATACACCCCAGTAGAGCAGCAGCAGCAGGGGGCAGTGCAGCAGACAGCGAGCAGTCTCCTCGGCTATCCGCTGGTTTGCTGCTGCAGCTGCTGCGGCATTTCTGTGATGTGCGCATTCCCCAGCTGTGCTGCAGCAGCCACCCGACCGCCTTGGGAGACAGCTGCCCCCCTCTCGGGACAGAAACAGGTGCTGCAGCAGCAGCAACAGCAGCAGCAGCAGCAGCAGGTGGAGAAGGGGACCTGGTAGATGTGATGAGCGCTCTAGAAGGGGTGCTAAAGGACTCCGAAGCAGCAAAGAAGGCGAAGGTGGCAGTAAGCCTGCTGAAGCTGCATGCGCTGCTAGCAGCAGAGACTGCAGCAGATGTGGGGCTGCTGCTGCAGCTGCAGTTCGGCATTTTATTCCCTCTTTCTGCTGCAGTTGCTGCAGCAGATATCAAGAAGTTCTGCATCGCCTTGGGGAGAAAGTGGCAGCAGCTGCCTCTAAAAATCGTGCAGTGGGGGGAGAGGCATCTGGAGGCCCGCGTAGCAGCGCTGAGGGTTGCTGCTACTGCTGTTGTTGCTGCTGCTCAAAGCCAACAGCAGCAGCAGGAGCAGCAGCTGCAGCAAGAGAAGGCGGTGCATGAGTTGTTGCTGGCAGCAGCAGACCACATCCCTTTGCTCTCTCTGTGGTTTTGCAGACAGCAGCTGCAGCAGAAGCCGGGCCCGCTGCTCTCTGCTGCTGAGCTGCTGCGCTGCTGCTGCTATGGCTTCCCTGACCTTCGTACGGATTTCAAGCACCAGCAGTCTCCTCCCAGGTGTCTCCTCTACCCTACGCGTACACCAGATGGGATTGCTGCTGGCCAGGAGGCAGCAGAAGCAGCTGCGCGCCTGTGGCTTGCTGCGGCAACCGCAGCAACTGCTGCACCAGGCCTTGCCTACAGCAGCAGCAGCAGCAGTAGCAGTGAGTTCGTTGCTCTTTTACCTGATGCAGGGGAGAGACGGGCCTTCTTGCAGGGCATGCTGCTGTCTCCTTTGAGGGGTCAGTTCGCTGCTGTCGAGGGACAGCTGCTGCTGCTGCCTGCTGCAGCGCTGCCGGAGACTCCTAGAGAGCGCCTTGTTGCTGCTTTTGCTATCAAGTCTGTGTGGAGGGAAGAAGAGCTGCAGCTGCTGCTGCGCCCTTGCCGCTTCAGCAGCGGAAACAACCAGGTGCGTTGCTCTCTAGTAACTGCAGCAACACCAGCAGGTGCTGCAGCTGCTGCTGTTGCTGCTGCCGTTGCACCAGCAGCTGCTGCTGCTTCCATTACTGCTGCCACAATAACGATTTCGTTTCGTGGGTTTATGCTTTCGCTGTCTCTATTCATCTGTGCGTGGCCTTTGCTGCTGATGCTGAAGTTGCTGCTGCTGCTGCTGCTGTTGCTGCTGCTGCTGGTTCAGGACTTAGCAGTGAAGTTGGGGGCCCCCCCTGCCATCTATTGCTTCGTCTTCCAGACGGAGTTATCAGCAGCAACGAAGGAGCAGGTTACCTCCTTCAAATCTAGAAACGTCCCCCTACCCTACTGGGAGCTAGGCTAGGCTGATGCTGCGCACCGTAGCAGCAGCAGCAGCAGCAGCAGCAGCAGCAGCAACAGCAGCAGGCAGGGACGCTGACTTGTTTCCCCGCTTGCTGCATGCGCTCCTGCAGTTGAAGAGACAGAGAACAGGTCGACGTCCTTCCCCTTCTTGGCTGCCCAGCTACGTAGCCAGCTAGCTGGCTAGCTAGCTAACTAGCTTGCTGGCTAGCTAGCTAACTGGATAGCTAGCTGGATGCAGTGTGGAGTGGCTAGCGAGTCCGCTAGCCACCTCGGCGCGCATCGCCTGAACTGCAGCTGATAGCCAAGTTGTTGAGGTTTCGATGTAAGGCGGAGAGCCCCTGGTAGAGCAGCTAGCTAGCCATAGCTAGCTATGCGGGCTGCTGCCACTGCACCTATGCGCTGCAGCAGCAATGAGCGGCACTCTAGGACCGATTCTCAGCTAGCTAGCCAGAAGACTCACAGCTAGCCAGCTAGCTAGCTGGGGGTTAGTTATACAGCTAGCTAGCTCTAGGGCTAACTGCGCAGCTATCTAGCTGAGAGACTCTATGAAGGAGGCTAGCTAGAGAGAAGCACTGAGGCATAGCTAGCTGTGTCGCCAGCATGGGGGGCAGCTAGCAATGTCTCCAAGGACGGGGCTGTTCCGGTGCATGCATACTCGCGTGAATGCTGCAGCGGAGCAGCAGCAACAGCAGCAGAAGCAGCTGAGGCCGCACAGGAGTTATTAACAGCAGCTGCTGCTGCTGTAGTTAGCTAGCTGTAGCTAGATAGTAACAGTCTGTACTGCCGCTCAGCCCCAGGACTGAACATCGCAGGAAGGATGAACGTGTCTTCTTGGTGCTGAAGTTGCTGCGGCAGTTGCTGCGGTTGCTGCTGCTGCAGCTGCAGCACCACACAAGTCGGGTGAGGTGGCCCCATTTTCGCTGAATTACAGCTGATATTTCGTCCAGACAGCAGCAGCAGCAGCAGCAGCAGCAGGCTGTTCTTGAGGAGATAACCTCGGGGAGAGATCCGCCGCAGGTCTCGCGTCCTTGCTGCTGATCTGCTGCAACAGCTGCTGCTGTTCCTTCTGCTGTTGCTGTTGCCGCTGCTGCTGCTGCTGCCGACAAACCAATGCCCCCACCCGTGCGGCTGCCCCCCCCTAACCAGCGGTCTGGTGTAGCTTTGCAGCCTTAGCAGCAGCAGAGGCTTTCTGGTGTATGCCGACGGTTTTTATGTTTAATTACTGTTGCTGCAGCATCTAAAGATATTTTTTCATAAAGTCGTCAACAAATAATGGGGAAATAGCCATATTTCGCGCAACCGATGTTCTGTGCTGCTGCTGCTGCTGCTGCTGCTGCAGCGAGGCGAGGCCTTCTGCGTTTGTGTGTCTGCCAGCAACGACTTCTAGACTGCACATGGCTTTTTGTTTTCTTTAAAGGAGGTTTTTAAAGGAAGAATAAATATATACTTCAGCAGCACCGCTGAAGGTCGTTTGCAGCAGGCCTATCCCTTTGCAGCAACAGCTGCAGCAGCAGCAGCAGCAGCAGCCGCAGCAGCAGCAGCAGCAGCAGGATTTGCGCGTTCTTCCGGCAAGTCGGCGTTAGCGCAGTCCCCTGTAGCACTTCAAACTGCAGCAGCAGGAAACTAAATGAAGCAGCAGAAGCAGCAAAAACAGTAGGAGATCAGCAGCAAATTACTCTTCTGGTGTACAGACCTCGAGGCCGAGCCCCCGAGCCATCCAAAAGGAGACCCGCAACAGCAAGCTGCAGCAGCAACAGAAGCAGCAGCAAAAGCAACAGCCATAAGAGCTGCAGACAAATCACTGCAACTGCATGCGCTTCAAGGGCTCATGAGGTACACACGCAGCAGCGCCCAGACCACCTGCAGCAGCAGCAGCAGCAGCAACAGCAGCAGCAGCAGCATCGACAGCAACAGCTGCACTTAGGTAGCTGCAGATCCAGAGCAAGCTTCAGCAGCAGCCCAGTAGACGCTGCTGCTGCTGCTGCTGCAGTGGTCAACTGCAGTCTGTCTTACGAGGCCCAGGAAACCGCAAGTGCAGCAGCAGCAGCAGCAACAACAGCAACAGCAACAGCAGCAGCAAAAGTAGACGCAGCAGACATCGCAACAACAGAAGGCGCGGCAGCGGTATTAACAGCAACGGCAGCAACAGCAGCAGCAGCAGCAACAGCAGGTTCGTAACCGCGACACATTGCTGGCTGCGCGGGTCGCCACAGCAGCAGCTGCTTCTAGGTGGCATAGGAAGCAGCAGCACTAGCAGCAGCAGCAGCAACAACAGAAGCAACAGCAGCAATAGCAGCAGCAGCAGCAGTACTTGCAGCAGCAACAAATACACCACCAGCTGCATTGAAGGGGAGCAACAACGAAAATGAGCAGCACGAGCTCCTCCTTCAGTTTGCCTCATGATGCAGCAGACAAACACAGGACGCATCGGCAGCAGCCCAACCACCACTTGCAGCAGCAGCATCAGCAGCAGCAGCAGCAACAGAAGCAGAAGCATGGAGGCGCGCCTCACGTATCGATCCCTCCCCTAGTGCGGGGTGGCTCTTCCTGCAGCAGCAGCAGCAGCAGCTGCTGCCGGCGCTGCAGCTGCACCTTGCCTGCTTACACAGACGTGGTGATAGTGGGTGCGGGCCCAGCAGGTCTAACGCTTGCTCTGTCTCTGGCGCTGCAGAGGGTCTCCTTTGTGCTGCTAGATGCCTCCCCTCAGCCTCAAAACGAAAGCCGTGCTTTAGCTGTGCATGCGAGGACTTTAGAAATACTTGAGGTGTGTTCTTGCTGCTGCTGCTGTTGTTGCTGTTGTTGTTGCCGCTGTTTCTGCTGCCGCCGTTGCTGCTGCTGCCGCTGCTGTTCCTGCTGCTGATATTGGTTCTGTTGATGCTTTTGTTGTTGCTGCTGTTGCTGTTTGCTGTTGCTGCTGCTGTTACTACCGTTGCTGCTGTTGTAGGACGGGGTGTGCTGCTGAACGGGTAGCTGTCTTTTTCTTGTTGTGTCGTCGCTCTTTGTACGGTGATGCTAGCTAGCTAGCTATCTAGCCGCAGCAACAGCCGGTGCTACAGCAGCAGCAGCAACAGCAGCAGCAGCAGCAGGTTTGTTGCATTGCTTGGTGTTTGTGCTTAGGACTTGGGCGTGGCTTGCAGCTTCTTGACGCTGGGCCTGCGCTGTCAGTCGTTAGAGCTGTGGCTGAGCGGCAAGAAGAGTTTATGTGTCCCCTTTAGAGACACGGAGACAGCAGCAGCACCAAGGAGACTCCCCCCGCTGAAGGCGCTTCTCTCCCTTGCTAGCAGCATAGCAGCAGCTGCAGATACACCTGAACTGCATGCAGCCTGCAGCAGCTCCACCCCCTTTCCCTTCTCTCTCATTTTGCCTCAATCCACCACTTGCCAGATCCTCGAACGCAGACTCAACCAACTCGGACACAAGGTCTGCTGCTGCTGCTGCTGCTGTTGCTGCTGCTGCTGCTGCTGCTGTTGTTGTGGCTGGTGGTGGTATAGGTACTGCTGCTGCTGCTGTTGCTCGTGCTGCTGCTTCTTTTGGCTGCTGCTCCTCCTCCACCTGCGGTTGATGCAGTGCTAATCCTGCTGTTGGTGCTGCTACTGTTGGTACTGCTGCTGCTTCAACTGCTGCTGCTGCAAGTGCTGTGGCTGCTGGTGTTCTGTTTTGGGTGTTGCGTGCTGCTGCTGCTGCTGCTGCTGCTGCTGGGCAGCAGCTGTTGGTGTGGTGTTTTCATGGGTGTCTCTTTTCTTGTCTGTCTCCTTTTGCTGCTCTTCAGGTACACCGCCCGGTTGCCGTCTGGGAGGTGCAGGGATTTGAAGTAGACGAGCCGAGCTCCTTCCCTGTGCAGCGGCAGCAGCAACAGCGACGGCAGCAGCAGCAAAGACAGCAGCAACAGCGGCAGCTCAATGGAGGGGGAGTTGATTCACAAGGAGACTCAGACAGCAGCTCCTTCAGGTCTCCTCACGAAGCCGCAGACGACGAAGAGGATGCAGCAGATACCGAGAAGCAGCAGCAGCAGCAGCAGCAGCAGGTGCCGCAGCAGCAGCAGATGCCGCAGCAGCAAGAAAGATTTCTTCCTACTTTTGCATCACCGGGGCAGGCCAATGCCCAGGAGGGTGTGCCAAACATGTTCGGCTTTCCGGTGTCTGTACACTTCGGTCGTTATAAGCCTCGAGGGTCATCTACGGCTTCAACATCTTGCTGCTGCTGCTGCACTTCTCATTCCCCCCCTTCCTCATCTTCATCAGCATCAGCAGCAGCAGCAGCAGCAGCAGATGGGCCCTGTGTGCAGTTCGGTACAATTTGCTGCCGCTATGTTGTGGGGTGCGATGGGGCAGGCTCAGCTGTACGCAAAGCCGGGGGGATTGCTGTTGAAGAAAGAGGAGACGCTTGCTCTTTTATTGTAGCAGATCTGCAGCTGTCTCCTTCTTTGTCTGCTACCAGCAGCAGCACTGTCTCTCCAGCCTCCTCTCCTGTCTTATCCAGCAACACCCCTCCACAAACACCACACAGGGATCGTCAGCACAAGCATCAACCCTCAAGCCTCTTAGCAGGCGCTGCTGCAGCCCAGCGCTCCTTAGCCCTCGCGGCTCAACAGCAGCAGCAGCAACAGCAGCAGCAGCAGCAGCAGCGGGAGGAGCAGGAGCAGCGGCGGGAGCAGCAAGTCGAGGAGCGCCTGCTGCAACTGCCTTCCTGGCAGTTTCCGCAGCAGCAGCAGCAACAGGGGGAGGCGACAAGCTGCGAGCTGCTGAGCTGCGGAGGCTTAGAGAGCGCTACTGAAGGGCTGCTGTGGGGTGAGGGGCTTATGTATGGATTGGGAAGGAGGCTGCATGCAGCTGCTGCTGCAGCATTTGAGCCGAGAGAGACAGAAAGAGCGAGGTTGATGGCTTCAGGTAGACAAACAGCAGCAGGAGATGCTGTTGAGATACACCTCACACCCAAGGGGTTTGCCGCGTGCATTCCTATGCTCGGCACTGCGTCTGCAGCAGATGTAGCACTCGCAGCTGCAGCGGGAAGCCGCAGGAGCAGCAGCAGCAGCAGCGGCAGCCTGCGTCAGCAGCATATGCTGCAGAGGCGCAGCACCAGACCCGCAGATGCAGCAGCATTCCGCTGGAGAGTCGTGACGGAAAGGCTTCCGTCTGCTGCTGCTGCTGCTGCAGCTGCCACCCGCCCTGTAGAGTACACCAGTGCTGCTGCTGCTGCAGCAACCGCTGCTGCCGCTGCAGAGGACAGCGACCGACCTGCCAACTCCGCAAGGAGACAGGAGACGCAGGCGGAGACACAAGCCGAGCTGCTGCAGCAAGTTGAACGGGTACGCAACAGCAGCAGCAGCAGTTGCCTGGACCCTAAACCCATCAAGCTTGTTTCTCTTTAGGCATTCACCCCGTCAACAGTAGCAGTGTTGGGGTGTATCTCCTGCTGCTCCTGCTGCAGCAGCTGATATCGCTCTGCTGCTGCAGTCGTGACAGCACCTGCTAGTGCTTCTCTCGCGAATTGCTGTTGCTGCAGTGCTGACCGCTGCTGTTGCTTTTGCTGCTGCTTCTGTTGCCGCTGCAATTGGCAACTACTGCTACTGAAGATACCGTTGCTGGTGCTGCTGCAGCAAGCTGTTGCATCAGTAGCTGCTGCAGCAGTAGCTACTGCTACTGCAGCAGCTTGCTGCTGCAGCAGCAGCAGCAGCAGCTTGTGGCGTTGGTGATGGGTATCTGTTTGTTGTGTGTGTGTGTGTTGCGTTTGCTGTTTGTTGCATGCATGCGTTTGTTGTTAGATATTTGTGGGGTGTCGCGTGACTGAGGTGTATTGGGCTTCAGTGTATAAGGCAAGGACCCGTGTAGCTTGTGCTTTTAAGAGAAGACGCCTGCTGCTGCTTGGAGATGCTGCACATTCTCACCCTTCTATACTTGGACAAGGAATGAACTTAGGGATGCAGGTTAGTTGGAGACAGAGAGGAGACACTTGAAGGAATTGTCTCTGTCTCCTTTTTGCTTTTTATTTTATCGATCTTTTGCTGTATTGCGGTGTCTTACTGCTTCTTTTTATGCATTTTGTGTTTCTTTGTCTTGTTTGCTTTTTTGTGTTTTGTTCTCCTTTGTTTTCTCTTTATTGTCTTACTTTTTTATTTGTAGTTCAATTGAATTTTCTTTCTTGTCTTTTCTTGTTTTAATGTTATTTTGTTGTTGCATTCATTTGCGTGGAGTTTGTTATTATTACTTGCTGTTATTTCTCTGTCTCTTTAGTATTCGTGTGTCTCCTTCTGTGGGGCCGTGTCTTCGGCTGCCTACTGCTGCCGCTGCTGGTGCTGTCTTGCTACTGCTGCTGCTGTTCTGCAACTGCTGCTGCTGCCTCTGGTTTGCTGCTGCTGCTGCTGCAACAGAATGCCTATAACTTGGGGTGGAAGCTGGCCCGCGTGCTGAAGCAGGGGGCCTCCCCGCAGTTGCTGGATTCGTATGCAGCTGAGGCGAGAGAAGCAGCAGGTGAGCAGCAGCAGCGGCTGCAGGAGCAGCAGCTGCAGCTGCAGCAGCAGCAGTAGCAGCACACCCTTCGATTGGAGAGACACCCGACGCATGAAGACAGTTGCAGAGGGACAGATAGGAGACAGCAAATAAGCACAGAAGAGACAGGAGACAAATGCAGCAAAGGAAAAAAACTAGAAACAGCTCTGCATCATAGATTGAGGCATGTAGCACCTGTTGCTGCTATTGCTGCACTTGGTGCTGCTGCAGCTCTAGCAGATGCCTTCTCAACAAGGGCGACTGAACGCCGTTTTGTGCTTCTGCTGCTTCTGCTGCTGCTTCTGCTTCTGCTGCTCCTCCTCCTGCCGCTTCTGTTCCTGTTGCTGCTCCTGCTGCTGCTGCTGCTGCTGCTGCTGCTGCTGCTGTGCGCAGAGCAAGTTTTAGGGATAGCGGATCGTCTCTTTCATTCAATCCTCTCTACCAACACCTCAGGAGGTATAGAATACTTTCTCTATTTGTTGTTTTCCCCTTCTTTTCTTCATTTGTTTCGTTTCATGTTTCTTCTTTTGTCTCCTTTTGTCTTCTTCTGTTGTCTCCTCTTGTCTTCTTCTGTTGTCTCTTCTCCTGTCTTTCCATGTGTCTCCTTTCTTGCCTTTTCTTTTGTCTCTTGTTATTTGTGTCTCTTCTTTTGTCTCTTCTTTTGTTTCTTCGCCTGTCTCTGCTCTCCGTCTCTTCTAGTGTCTCTTCTCGCCTCTCCTTTTATCTCTTTTCCTTGTGTCTCTTGTTTCTGCATATTGTCTCCCTTACGCATTTGTTAATTATGTGCATTAATCTGTTTATTTCTTTCACCTCTTTATATTTTTTGTCGTCTCTTCTTCTAAAGGCCTCAACCAACGCCCAGCTGTATATCCTTTCACCTTCAGTTTCTCTTTCCAGGTGTACAGGCAGCTCCTTTCACGTATCTTTCCGTTGCTGTTGCTGCTGTTCCTGTTGCTGCTGCTGCTGCTGCAGGCCTTGTATCGCGTTTGCTGCTGCGGATGGGGGCTGCTGTGGCCTCGCATTTGCCCAGCGCTGCACGGAGTTTCGGGCAGACACTTCTTATGACGCAGATCTCTTACATGCAACCTAGGTAAGGAGCTGCTGCTGCATGCTGTTATTGCTGCTGCTGTTGCTGTTGCTGTTGATGGGGCTTCTACCGCTGCTGCTGCTGCTGTTACAGTTGCCGTTGCTGCTTTTGCACTTGCTGCTGCTGCTGCAGCTGCTGCTAGAACTGCTGCTTTGTGTTTCGTTGCTCTGCAGCATCGCGCTGGGTAATGCAGACGACTCCTTCATCTCAGGCCTCCGCCCAGGCTGCAGGGCCCCTGACTGTCTTGTCAAAGTGGCGCGAGTGCGGTTGCTGCTGCTGCTGTTGCTGCTGCTGCTGCTGCTGTTGCTATTAGCTGCTGTGGACGCATCTGCTGCTTTGCTGCTGCACCTTTGGCTTCGTGAAGGCAGCACTCCCCCAGGCGCATCTTTGCAGCACTTGCTGCTACTGTCGCGTGGCTTCTGCTGCTTTTTGTGCTGCCGCTGCTGCTGCTGCTAGTGCTGCTGCCATTGCTGCTGCTTCATCTGAAGCGGCTCTGCCTCGTGCTTATTATGTATAGATGTATATGTATGCATACATATATATATATATATACACTTTTGTTTATTTTGTCTTTATTTTGTCTTTATTTTGTCTTTTTTCTTTTTTTGTGTTTATGCTGTCTATTCGTTTCATTCTACTGCAGATGTCTTTGTCTCCTTTATTTGTTTGTTGTGAGAGGAAGATATCGAGTGTCTCCTTTTGTGGTGTCTCCTTTCTCTGCAGCTTCCTCGCTCTTTGCCTGCTGAAGCAGCAGCAGACCCTGTCGTTGGTTATCTATTTGAGCTGCTGGGCAGAGGCCGCCATTTGCTGCTGCTGCACATCATGCTGTTGCCGCCGGGGACGCGGAAGCAAAATATATTTGGCTGCGAGATTGCTGGAGCACCCCTTGTTTGTCAGTCAATAGACTCCTTCCTTCTTCTGCTGCTGCTGCTGCTGCTGTTGACGGTGTTGCTGCGGCTGCTGTTGTTGGTGTCGGTGTTGCTGCTGCTGCTGCTATCGATGTTGCTGTGGCTGCTGCTGTTGCTGCTGTGTTTATTCTGATATCGCGTTCTGTGTGTCTCCTCGTGGGTGTATCTTTGTGAGTCTACGAGCTACCGTTTTCATTACTTCTGCTGCTGCTCCTGCTGCTTCTGCTGCTGCTGCTTCTGGTTTGGGTGTATCTGCTGTTGCGCTGCAGCTAGATACAACACGGAAGCAGTTAGTACTTTGGCTCGTCTCTGCCAACTGGCTATATTAGCTGCAGCAAAGGGGCTTCTTCTTAAAGAAGGGGAGAATACGCTGGAGGCCTCTTCAGACCCTTCAGCAGCAGCAGCAGCAGGAGCAGCAGCAGGAGCAGCAGCCCCAAGTCTGCGGGCTCCGTTTTCGGCTGCAGACTTCGCCGACGCGCCGCAAAGCCTCGACGCGATTGCTGCTGCTGCTCCTCGCAGCAGCAGCAGCAGCAGCAGCATCAGCAGCGGCGGCAGCAGCGGCAGCGAGTCGGAAGAAGAAGACAACGATATTGTAGGGGGCTCGATGTATAGGCAGGCACCTCAAGGTCTTAAAGATGGCTCCCTACGGGGCCTCGAGACCCCTGCTGCAGCAGCAGCAGCAGCAGCAGCAGAATCAGAAGGAACTGCTGCAGCAGTTGGTGGCCGCGTGCTGCGGCGTCACACACTATATCACCCCCGGCGCGCTGCGCCTGCTGCAGGCTCATCCTCATCGTCAGCAGCAGCAGCAGCAGCAGCAGCAGCACTGGAGCGGCAGCTCTGGGCTTCTGACCTGCGGGTTGTTTGGTGCTTCCATGGGCCCCCCGCAGCTGTACATACAACAGCAACATCAACAAGCATCACATCAGAGATTATTCGAGGCAATTCGCGCTGTCTTCCTGCTGCTAGAAGTCGCTCCTTCCTCCTCTCCCCCCAGCAGCAGCAGCAGCAGCAGCAGCAGCAGCAGGGGCCTTTAGTTGCTAGGGCAGAGAGCGTGAAGGGAGAGATAGAGGAGTGCCATTTAGTGGAGCGTCCTTTGCTGCAGCTGCTGCCTAGTGCTTTGCTGCAGCAGCTGCAGCAGGCTAGCAGCAGCAGCAGCAGGGGAGCAGGGGGCTTCGTGCTGCTGGACTTCCTCAATGACCTCGGCAGCAAATTCGGGTTGTCTCTTGCTGCACCGCATGCATCAGATGGGGCTGAAGCCAGCTGCGGCTTTTCTCTTATAAGGCCTGACGGCTATCTAGCGCATTGCGGGAGAATAGGAGACACCAAAGCAGCAAGGGGACTGTTAGACTACCTCATCAGATTCTAAGCGGCAGCGCTTCTGCTTCTGCTGCTGCTGGTGCTGCTGCTGCGCGGCTGGCAGAAGCTGCCGCTACTGCTGCAGCAAGCAGCACCAGCTAGTGACACGGCAGCGCTTTGTGCTGTGCTGCAGCCGCAGCACCCCCAACAGCAGCAGCTAGTGCTGTACTGCAGTAGCAGCTGCTGCTGCAGCAGCAGCAGAAGTAGCACAGCAGCACAGCAACAGCTAGTGCTGCTGCAGCAGGTTGATATTTCGGACCTCGCTGGAACCGGCAGAGGCAGCGCGCACGTAGTTATTGCTGCATCAGCAAGAAGCAGCATCAATAAGTAGCACTGAGAAGCAGCAGCAGGGTGCATGCAGCAGCTCGTGTGTCTTGCTGCTGCAAGCATCAGCTTTGTGCTGCGGTTTAGAAACAAACAGAGGCCGGCGGAGAGGCCCTTTTTATGTGTTGCTGTTTGATAAGGAAAAGAGAGGCATGCGATTACTGCTGCTGCTGCTGCAGCAGCTGCTGCTGTTCAAGACAAAGCACCGCTTGCAGCGCACTTTCCCTAGGTCCCTGCAGCAGCAGCAGCAGCAGCAGAAGCAGCAGCAGCAGTAGCAGCTGCCAGGGCAGCGCTGCAGCAGCAGCAAACCGACTGCATGCGCAGCGGTGTCGATTACGGTAGTAACTGCATGCAAATGAGTTTGCTGTTGCTTGGAGAGGCGGCTAGCCAGCTGGGTGGCTAGCTGCCTCTAGCTAGCTAGCTAGTTAGCTATCCAGCTTGTGCTGTTGTTTATCTGAGCGCAGACATCTCTTTATGCATCCTACGAACTGCAGCAGAGTTTTTAATGGTGTATGTATGTTTGTGTTTGTGTTTATTTGTGTCTGCTGCTCGTGCGTTGAGGTGTATGTCCAGCTGAAGGAGACAGAAACGAAGGCAGCCGGATAGACCTCCCTTTGTTAATATATATATATACATATATATACATA